TACCTGAAATACTGTTCAAAGCGGTTTCTAACCTAACTCACTCACTCATTCCAGGTGAGCGGGTGTTCATGTGCCACAGTGAATAAAAGAAACCATAATTATTATAAGGAAGTATGTTGCACAAAGTTATTTAATTAAATGTTACATCCAGTTTCATAGTAAGTCAATTTGTCCATGTGTCTCAGTAACTGATGGCAACCAATGAAACAACACTTTCAGTACAAAAGTTCCCCCAAAGTACTAGTTACATGTGCCATAAGCCAAAATTAGCTGCCCGCTGTGGCTCAGTGTATACTCCTGAATGGAATTTGCTAATATTAACCATATATATGACATGCATAGTTCTCACAATAGGTCTCCAGCAACCCATGCTTGCCATAAGAGGCGAGCATGTTTGTTGTAAGAGGCGACTAACGAGATCAGATGGTCAGACTTGCTGACTTGCTTGATGTGTGTCATCGTATCCCAATTGCGTAACCTGATGCTCATGATATCAGTCACTGGATGGACTGGTCCAAACTCATATATTTACAGACTGCTGTCATATAGCTGGAATATAGTTATAGAAACAAGCAAATAAACACAACAATGAGTTCACTGCTGCATCCTAGCAACAGTATTTTTAGAAACTGCTCATTTGTAAGCCTGTTCTGATTGAATAGATGAATTTTGGCAAAACACACAGCCATTTCTGTCCGTATAATTGTTTTTTTTATGTGCATGCATGTTCAGTTTGTCCATGTATTACTGCATTATGGATGTTGTGTCGAAACCTTCATTGCTTTCTTCTTTACCTTCGTGTGGTTGTGTAGCCCAGTGGTGAAAGCGTTCGCTCATCACGCCAAAGACCTGGTTTTGATTCTCCACATGGGCACAGTGTGTGAAGCCCTTTTTATTTGTTGCATTTCATGTCAAACAGAAAACAACTTCCATGTTACGAAAAAAAATGTATGCCATGAAGACCAAAATTTATAGAATCTGTCTTATACCCACTCATAAATGCTGTTCATTTAATAACTGCTTTAATAAAACTACTTAAGTTCATTCTGGAAGATCTGGAACGATGGAATATGCCTTGTATCTTTACATGAAAAAAAGATTTCTGCAAAGAATAATTATAAGATTTAATGGGTCATTATTGTGTAATTGGTATCCAAGCACAACATGTCTTTTTGTGATATTTCCTTTCCAGTTTCCAGTGAATTCTATGCTTGTCTTAAGAGGCAACTAACAGTATCGCGTGGTCAGGCTCGCTGACTTGCATTGATGCTCATGATATGAATCTCTGAAATGTCTGGTCCAGATTCGATTAATTACAGACCGCTGTCATATAGGTGGAATATTGCTGAATGCGGCAGTAAACAACAAACCAAACCAAAACATATATTACTGTCTACATATCCTATTGGTAGGGAGTTATGTAGATTCTTATTTAGAAACCAGTGGAGCTTAGTATCCACAGTGCACATATATGGGTTACGTTATTGTAGTTTGTCCAGTATTATTAGTAAAGGATGTAATGGGATTTGTTTTGTAAAGGGATTGTGCCATGTATGTCAAGACATTTGTTTGTACATTATATTTGTAACACACGTTTAGAAGGATAGAAATTTATCTTTGTCTTAGCTAAATGCTTGGTACGGGCCTGTTGAATAAATTCAATGTTTGTCTGGTAGGCTTGTCTAATTTTGGAGGAATTGGGGATTTCTGAGAATGGAAATTGGCAATTGTTATATTTGTATGACTATCCAATTACATTAAAGTTGCAATTTATGTATTCGAATATTTATTTGACATTTCCAGGACCAGTAAAGCTGCAAGATTTTGTCGGCCAGTCAAAAGTGGACGCTGCAATCCAAGGTATCACTTTTAGTGCTATCATGAAGATAGTTATCAATGAAATTATTGGTATATGATTCCACATACAATATTTATTCCTTGAGGCTATACTATACAATTCAAAGTAAATGCTGAAGTCACATGTGGTTAATATTTTTATAATTTATGTAAATTGTTTTAAACCACATTAGAATTGTTTTTAAGCAAGTATTTCATGTCCAGTTGCTCATCCTAAGTATAAAAGAATCTGCACACTATGTTGAAACTTTTTAAATGCACAAGATTGATTTTTCTCTCAATATTCTCAATACTCAAATCAGTATTCTGTAAATAAACAAGTTTTGTACAATTTGATTTGTTTTCATAGTGATAATACTGATGTAAATACTATTTTCAGATGAAACTTTCTTTCTCATGGTGGGGCACACGCATGAAGATTTGGATCAACTGTTTAGTGTATTTGCAAGGGAACTTAGACAGAAGCCTGCAACAACCCGCGATGCCCTCCTTCAAGATTGGGGACATCCGGACACCCACCACTAAGCTATCAGACTTCAAGCCCTTCATGCCTGCCCCAAGGGAAGCGACAACCCTCCCAACTAAAGTTCAAGAGGCAATAGAGAAGAACAATGAAAAACTGCAAAAACAATCAAAGGTAATTTCAATAAATATTGCATTTCTTTTGAAATATGTATTGTGATGTGTAATATTAGGGTTAGTCAGTGTTACTTAGAATATGTGTAATGTGGGCAGAGAAACAACCCAACTTCATGAGATTACTATTTTTGCTTTTATTGTATAGATGCACTGTGATTTTAATTATGTTCTCATATTCTTTACATTTTCTTTCTTTACTTTCAGATCACTCTGACAAAGCACCGAAGACAAGCGTCAGTATCAGAACAATAAAGAAGGAGCAGCAAGTTTTGCTGAAATGAACATATTTTTTGTCTAAGCTATGTGGCTGAGATATTGCCGAGGATTGCATTGCAGGAGTTTTGTACTTTGTATGTTTTTGTTTCTTAGTAAAGCTGTGTATTTAGAATTGTATATATATATATACATATATAAGATGAGATGTGCACAATGGAACTTATGAAACAATATATGCAGTTATATTGTAAAATCTTGGTTGTTATCTATTTTTTCCATGTCTGAAGTTAACCTACTTTCAGAGTACCGTATATCACATGTAGGTTGTTTCTTTGAATTCCAACTGGGGATTATATATTTGGTTGGCCCCATGGAATAATTATGAAATTTATTTTTTCAGAATCACATTCGCCTTTAATGTTGTACACTTCAAAGTCGTAAATAGGTCATTGAAGATGGTCACTAAAATTCTCATAATAATTTAGATAATTATAGGGTAAGCTCAAGGTTCAATGATTTGCATCTGTCTAGTATACAAAGGTATGAGGCCAACATGTTGTTCCATTGTTTAATTCGAGTGACGGCAACTTTTCTTGATAAATTTGGTAAGTATAATACCAAGATAACTATCTTCAATTGCTGAATTCAATTTAAACTCTCCAAAGATTGATGGTTGATATTACTGCAGAAAACAATTCTGCCAGAAATTTCTGTAGAAAAAAAAAATTCTGCCAGAAATTTCTGTAGAAAAAAAAAATACTGCCAGAAATTTCTGCAGAAAAAAAAAATTCTGCCAGAAATTTCTGCAGTAATGCATTTTCTGAGCCAATTTTTGAGCTTATGAACATGTGAACACACTGGGACACACATTATTTGGATTCGACTCCTTGAGAGCTTTCCAATGATATAAAACATGTTTTTGTAGCTCGCTTCCTTCTGTGTTGTCAAGTTCGGACTCCTGGCCATTCCTAAGTTGTCCCGCCCTGCCTTAAATTGTTTGCAAACAATAGGCGATAAACCCCGAGCTCACTCGTCCCCGCGAGTGTAGGCTTTTCTCTTGTTTGTAAGCAAACGCACGCATTATGAAATGAGCACAAACGGGCATAATGCAAGCCTTTCGGTGCGTTTTACATCAAAGTGACCGCATTGCTTGCTCTCCGTAGGGCTTCGATGGCGGCACGTGGAGCGGTGCAACCAATGCAAGCAAAGAATACATACGCAAATGGAAATAGTTTTTCACGTTTATATTTTCGCAATGAAAGCAAGTTATTCTGCTCAGTCCTTGGGTGTTGGCTTCTCTGGTCGGAGCCCTATTGTTTTGGCCTGATAATTGAATCGTACATGAATTAAATGTGTGATGTCACTCTCAGAAATTATTTCATGCACTCAGAACCGTCGACGTACTGGCCGTGTTGCCCTACGATCCACCCTGCCGTGCAGCGATCAAAAGTTGTATTTTCCTGCGTGATTAAGCCAATGGACTCAAAAGAGAGACATATTTTCAGCTTGAGTGTAACGCAAAGTTTGTTGTGAACGAGCATCTCCTGTCACTTCCTGTAACATCTGGTCTGATTTAATTATTGTCACATTAAAAACTCAAATGGGCTATCCGTAATAGAGAGAAACACATGATACGTATATTAACGACCCTGCAAAGACATGAGTGAGGGGACATATGCGTTTTCTAATAAAGTATCCATATTGAATCGCACTGTGTATATACATTAGCAGTATTTTAGGGAATGCAGAGGACAGCTGTTATTTGGGAGAACACAAAGAACAATCCTTATTCATCAGCCAACGTAAAACACACATCTTAATTATTTGGAGGAATGCAGATGATGCCTGTATTTTCAGAGCGCTGATAGATTACCAATTATATATTTGAATGTATACATGTATGAATATGACACCTGTTAATTGTAAGAGTGTAGAGGAAGCAGGGGAATTGTGTTATTCATCGTCGGTTATACAACGTTCACAACCGTGTAGACCCGTGAATATCCGGGGTAGAATAGGTCTTCAGCAACCCATGCTTGCCGTAAAAGGCGAGTATGTTTGTCGTAAGAGGCGACTAACGGGATCGGGTGGTCAGGCTCGCTGACTTAGTTGATGCATGTCATCGTTTCCCAATTACGTGGATCGATGCCCATGATGTCAGTCACTGGATTGTCTGATCCAGACTCGATTATTTAGAGACAGTCGTCATATAGCTAGAATATTGCTGAATGCGGCATGGAACAACAAACAAACAAACAAACACAACCGTGTAATTATGCAAGTTATACCTTCTCTCCAGCATTCCTGGCGTCTTGTAGTACCCCGTCCAGCCAGGTGAACTGACCAGCTGGGACAGGCAAAAGACGAGTCAGTCTGTCCGCGGTATAGTAGAACACTGTGTTTAGACCTACGATCCTAAGACCGTTAACTGTCTTAACTGTGTAGTACCCACCTAGAACAACAACAGTGAGAAGGATACTTGAATTTAACATGTCACATATCTTGGCAATGCACTCTGAATACGCTGAACAAGAGCTAAGTGAATACTGAATTCGAATCCGGAGCGGCTAGTTTCACCAGTTCGTTTTCCACATGTTATACATATTTCTAATTTCCACTTTTAATCTAGACGTTATTAATGACATTAATTGAAATAGAGGAATTCATTCTGTGACATGAGGGTGAATATAAAGTGATTATAGTAAGAACTAAAATTCAGTCACCATACAAATATATTTTAAGCTTGTTCTAACTGCCAAATGTTGTTAAGAATTGACTATCACTTTGTGTGAGTTCACTGGAGTATGAACCTTCATAGATTGAGGGCCAAACTGTATGAACGTCGAAGCTTGCGACCATATCGACAGTTATCGGTTGTCGTGATCAGAGATCAGCTGGGTTTGTAGGAAAACGAGGATTGCCGTTTCAAAACCGAGCATACATGTAAGTTCTAAATCTTACACATTGTTCTATATACAGTGCGAAGTTGCCGGATATATTCTCTTGTTGAATCCGAAGTTAATGTCAGGTTTAAATATTATTATTCGTTATTATTAACAAAATAGATTGAAGGAAATAATACCTACAGTCTTAGGTTGTCTCTCCTGAAACTTTATCTGTTCATTGTAAGTGTATTTAATACTGGTAAAAGGATTTTTACATTCTTTATATGAATAACAAAAATATGTTAATTGATCTCATTAATAAATGTTGATTGATTGTTAATAATTGTTGGTCATTTATTGTTTATTTATGGAAAATTGAATGGTTATTGTGGTGTAGATGAGAGATCCAATATACGCAATTTATACATAAGCTACTGGCCTGGTTGCTTCTCTGCACCATTCCATCCCCTTAAACCGTTACACGGTGTATGAGGGAACGGTTACCCCCGTAGTCCTCAACACTATGTTGAAATACAGCATTGGTGAATTATAACAAATGTTATATTTGGGATAACACTTTCTAAGTAAAGTACAGATTCTCGTACTTTTATGGGTTGAGTCCCGTCCGGGATTCGAACCCACACTTGCCAGATTGAGGCACCTAATCGCCAGCACACGAAGTCAGCGATCTAACCCACTCAGCCACCGAGGCTTCCACAAAATGAAAGTCCGACAACTGGTAGTCTAGATCACGTACTTTGAGTACCCCTCTGCCAAGTGTAAATTAGAACTTCTCCCATGACCGAAAGCTATGAACACACAATGCCATTTAGAAAGTGGTCCCAAATATAACATTTGTTACATTTGACCACTTTCTAAATGGACCGTGTTCAGCATCATACCCTGTCCAGAGGATGAAGTCGACGTCACGTTTAACGTTGGCCATGGCGGCGACGCTGTCGTTGACGAGGCGCCAAGGAGGGTCGCACCAGTAGTCGCCGTAGATACCACGTACCGGAACCTTGTCATTACAGGACCGCATTTCTGACCAGTATGTTGGGTCGAAATGATGGTCTGTGATGTGCCAGAATTGCCCTATTTGAAATTGATGTGTCTTTATTACTTTTCGACTTATAAAAATATGTTCTCTTGATCTCCTTATTAACCCTCTTTACACTTCATAACTTCACTCTTGGCCTCAACATATACCCGTGCTTATACCCGGGGTGTATTGTGTACAGGTTCAATACTGCACAATCAATACACACTGAGCAACACTAAAGTACGTAACTCAAGCCTAGTGTGCCTGAGTTTTCCTTAATGCAACTTTAAGTCACTAAATTATAGTTAATGGTATTACTGGAAGAAAAGATAACGTCACATAGCATATAAGTCAATATAACATGAACTGGCTCTGTGGGAACTACAGTAAAGCTGATTCTGATAAGAATCCTGGAATCGGAACAAGATCGTTCGCTTTGTGATAAAAAATAGGATATAAACTACCGGGCAAAAGAAACATATCAGTTGTAAATTAAGTTTTGTCTGAATTAAAGACGGTGCGATAGCTAGGAACGTTATCAGAAAACATTCACCGAAACACACCGTGTGCACACATGAAAGTCACTTTTTGCAGGATTCATCTCGTGCAGTCATGAAAAGGGAAAAACAGGATTTTGTGGAACTGGTAAAAATGTTCGTGCATGATTGTAGCATAAATACCAGCGTGTGGCAGAGCAAGGATGCCGCATCAAAGAGAACATCAGGGAAATGTGGTGACTCACACAAGAGGAACGTGACAGAGCTCTTGGTATGGCCGATTTAGGGACCTCTCAACAGCAGATTGCCGGAACCTTTAACTGCAGTCAAACGATTATTGAGCCGTCATCAGCAAACAGGCCAGACACAAGACCGCCCACGATCGGGAAGACCAAGGGTCACAACGCCAGTTGAAGATCGCAACATCTAGACAATCCACCTGCGGAACCGATACGTGACAACGACGGCACAGGGACCCCCCATCAGCAGACGAACAATCTTACGACGACTCCGAATTGGTGGTATCAGAACCTACCGCCCCTTCCGTGGAATGGCCTTGACACCTCTACACCGTCAACGCAGATTACAATGGGCAAGAACTGAACGTCGGTGGTAGCGGCGTGATTGGAAAAGGGTGCTGTTCACAGATGAATATCTCTTTAACTTGTTACGAAATGATGGCCGAGTCCGTGTTTATCGACGTAGGGGAGAGAGACTGGTGGCCAACCGCATCCAAGATGTGCACCCTTATAGTGGAGGCGGCGTCATGGTATGGGGCGGATTTGCGGTCAGCGGACAACAAGGCTTTGTCTGACTGGCCAAACATACAGAGATAAAATGTTTCTACCTGTTGTTGTGCCATTCTTACGTGGACACCCAAGGGGTACCCCTTTGCATGAGACCTTATACCGCCAGACTTGTTCAGCAAATATCATCACATAGTTAACACCTATCTTTTTATTCCTTTTAGGGAACTTCTATTGTGTTTGTTTGTTTGTTTGTTGTTTAACGCCACACTCAGCAAAATTCCAGCTATATGAGGGCGTACTGTAAATAATCGAGCCTTGACCAGACAATCCAGTGATTGACATCATGAGTATCGATAAACGTAATTGGGATACGATGACATGCATCAACCAAGTCAGAGAGTCTGACCACCAGATCCCCTTTGTCGCCTCTTACGACAAGCATAGTTGCCTGTTAGCATGGGTTGCTGAAGACCTTTTCCAACCCGGATCTTCACGGGTCTATGGAGCTACTGAACAAGATGACACGTTTCGTTTGCCCAGTAGTTTATGTTTATGTGCGCATATAAAAGGCTTCTCGCTGCAGGTATAACCATCTAATTTATTATCCTAATACTTCCTGCCTCAAGCTCCAGTGCATGCATGGTCTTTTTATGATGTTTTCTCAATTTTATTCAAGGAATCTATAACACTGTTATTAATCTAACCCTACAATAAGCATCAACATAACATTTCCAGTTCAACCTTAATTATCAGAATCAACTATAAAATTGACAGTTATTAAACAATGTTATAACGTCTCCTTATTTGCATAAAATCATGTCATGTTTTCAAAACGATCATCTCTATATGCTAATACCTTCTTGGGGATACACCACAACTAACGTCGTGACGAGTATCACTATCCCAAGCAGACCTCGGCACCACATCATGACGGTCTTCCTCCCACAAGATGTTCTGTGCATCTCAGTATGTCAGCAGCTTTGTTCAGACTACAACACTGATATGTGAACGTTTGCACATTGTTACCCGGCAGGTGCACTTGGTTGCATCGTCGTTCTGTCAACACTGTCTCTTAAAACTACCTTTTTTCTGTCAACTTTGACATTCTAATGAGGTTATTGAAATCGTCACACAGAAAGAATGTCCCACTGCATTACAAATGAGTATACACGACATGATGAACAGCAACGCTGACATTTGGAAATTAACCTGAACAGATGTTGCGATAAGATGGTAAAGCGCTGAACGTTGTTCAATGGCAGGCGGTTAGGAATACCAAGTGTGAATCTGTAATCTCTATCCACAGAAAATGGGAAAATGTACACTTAATCATTATGTAAGATGAAATAGAATTGGAAAGCCAGCTATAGCCTAAACACCTACGAAAGAGGGAGAGGGTAGCACTCCGCAATATTTCAGCTATATGACGGCGCTGTACAGAAGATAGTATCTATGAGTGAGAGAGGTATTGTCTAAGCATCTAGTCATAGATGGAGGAGGTAATGTGGTGATTGAGTCGTTTTATGTAAGTGCTCATGTCATTTTTCGAAACTGAGAGCAAGCATGCCCCCCCCCCCCCCCCCCCCCCCCACACACACACACACATACATACATACATACATACATACATACATACATACATACATACATACATACATACATCCAGATGCAAAGTTCTGTTACTGTCCCCTAGGTGTTCCTGATATATGTACTTTCCTCGAATAAGAAGAAATATGTGAAAATATGGGATAGTGCATTTTGATGTATGTCCTTATCACGGATCCATACATAACAGTAACCCACTAGCAACAACGGCATGGTTACATACGAATTATTTACAGCACTAGGCGGGTCTAATTTACATTGTTCATACTAAGCAAGCCTAGCAGTTGACAAGCTTAAAATAAAGTAAAAAACTTAGGAGAAGGATGTGGAAGCTTTTAACATATATTTTACTAACGTGCAAAATTCCAATGTAATAGAACAACACGCACAGACACCGTTTATCTGCAGAAAAAAACACTATTCACCTGGTCAAACAACAAAATTACATCGATGAGGTATTGCGTCCAGGTGTGCTTCTCTTCCTACAACAGAACCCACAGATTTCATTATTACAAACGTTGCAGCTAGAATATTATCTTCTTGTGTTTTTTGTCAAGCCTGATATATATATTTTGGTAACTATGTTTTCCTCTGCAACACATTTAGGTTTAACTCTTTTCATTTACAAAAGCAGAATCTACCTATTTTGGTGATAAAATGCTTTGCTGTTGACACATCGTCTGTGTCAACTGACGTTGAATGCGTTTCATGTCTTTCTCATGGACATTATCATACCAAGGTTATATTTCAAAACAAAATATGATGTCGATATGAGAATATGTGTTCAGTCCCACTTTGACAATGCTCTAAATTATCTCAAAATTCTACCTACTGGTCATAAATTGAGTTTTCAATGTATGACATTGTACTTCCTTATTCAGTGTACGATTTGAACATTTAATTTGACAAATCTCTAAGAAGTGGGTGTTTGACTTGTAACATTCCAGCAATATCACGGCGGGGGACACCAGAAATGGGCGTCACACATTGTACCCATGTGAATCGACACAGGGTCGTCGACGCGACGAGGCAACACTTCAACAACTAGGTTATCCCACCGCCTCAAATGTTTGCCGAGAATGGCCAAGTAAACCCATAATCTTGAGAAACAACACATGCTACGATCCATTGAATCCGAGTTTTATTTCATGAGTGGAGAGTAATGCAGATATTTCCCAACGTTAAACACTCCCAGGACATTCCGTCCTTTTGTAGTATGGATGGGACGAGGCTGCTTACAATTGCTAGGGGCTCTAAACGAATATTTGGTTCATCCATGCCGGTGTGGATAGGAACTGAATATTTGGAGCTCTGCACAGAGATAAATGTTTCGTCTGTTTCTTCGTTTTTCTCAACAAAGGACTATCAAATTATATGTACATGTACTTCAACATAAACAACAATATCAATATCCGGACTTAATTATTCGTTATAATTATAGACATTTTGGTAATGACGGATCTTTTTTTGTTCTATCATAATTTTAATCGTAAATGAATTGATGAAACACATGTAGGATTCCAATGGGATTAAAACCGCTAACGAATGCTAACAAGGTGAACAATTGACTTGCCTTTGCATGTGTTTGTGACGGGTGCCAACGGTGGGGCAGGTTACGGTCAACTTTCGCGAACACCTAGTATCATTACTATTTGATAGTGATTCATAAGCACGTGTTCATGATATGGTCGTAATCGTACAATTGACAGTATAATCCTACCTAATTTTAATCATCTTTTTAGCAATTGTAAGATAACGTGAAGTTTAGGTGGGGATGGGGCCATTTTTGATTCAGGAATATGTTGTCTCTGTTATGTAGATGTTTATTATACATGTGTGTTATATATCAGTTCGACAAGAAGATATTGTTAGATGAGGCGTGTCTGTACTCATTGCTGTCATTTTGAATTCAAAATGATATTACCTTTCTTAAAGTTCTCAATCTGTTGATTGTCCCCGATCCAGTCTCTCCAGAGTTCAGCGGTAGCGTTATATAGAAACGCTTGTTGCACCGGGAACTGGTCAGCTGGAAACCAGTCATGGTTTCCCATTATGCCATAAACTGGGACGCCTGGAAACTCCGCCTTTAAGGCGTCTGTTATCTTCTCAGTGATCTCCAAGTTTAGACTTTGGTTGAGGAACTGGTTTTCTATGTGAGGCACGTTATCTCTGATGTAGCGAAGAAGAATATAAACAGTACATTCATAATTGTGTGGAAATAGATATGTACAATACTTTAATGCCTACAGGCAGCATTTTTACCAAATACACAATCAGGTAGCATATGTCTAGGTATTCATTCTCTGTTGATGAAAATAAGACACAATTGGCTACCACGTTGTTACACGTATCTCCAACTGAAAGCGACCCAACGATCAGCTGTAATCAGTTGTCCAATTCCCAGTGTGGACACTGTGTTCAGTAGGGTCAGCAGGTCGATGGCCACACTGGGAGGTTACCGCTCCAACAGCCATCTATGCCTGGCCTACTCCGCACAGTGTTTACACGTCCGTGTGTGGGGGCTTGGAAGGGCGACTGTGGCTCCCATGAAAGCGGAGGACGGTGCAATCCGACCCGCGGAGAACCGTCAGGCTGTCGATTTAATTAATATAATAATAGAATATTGTCTTGTTGTAAAAAGCTCCCGTCCTTAAATTACAAACGAAAAAGGGACAAAGAATAACAATGAATATTGCATTTGGTAAATAAAAACACATGATTGCTAGGGTTTCATTTGTCACTCAGTAAATAAAATTGATGTAACTGGATATCGTAGACTTGCTATATGATACTTATGGGTTTGGTTACTTTGTGATGTACATGTATATATATTGAGGCATATCGTGTAGTTGCCATTTACTCCAGAGTCCCAAGAGGTAAGGCATTTTGAAGAATGTAGACTCTATAACCATGTCTTCTGTTTGTATTTCTTTGCATATAAAGCTAGTGTTGGTTTCTAAATTACTTTTTATTGATATCAACAATTCGATTATAGTTTATCTTAACATAGAATTCCTAATATTAACAAAAAGCAAGTAGTTTTTCAAATCACTAACTCGATGTGTACACATCAAAATATCAAATCAAAATAATTTATTGATGTCATTAACGCGATATTTAGAATGAGAAATTTGTATGTTGCGAACAAGATATCAATGTTTTGACCGGATAAATGGTTTTATCATATAATGGGTAGGTTTCTCGGAAGGAGAAGGCCAACGGATAAAAACGATATCAGTTGGGGTCATATGCAGAGAGAGAGGCAAATATCAATGTTCAAGTAGGGACTACTTTCTGTCTTACAAACAAATATCGCGTCGCCATTATTATTCGGCGATCCAGTCAGAATTAACCATCGGGAATCTGGAGAAACTACTGGCATAATTGCTGTCATTATCAAAAGAATAGTCTAATTAAAATAATTAAAATCAGTGTTTAACTGTGACGTAGCTTAGGCATTTTACAGGTTTTGGTAACGTTGGAGATGTAAATTGCGAAACAATTTCGCGACGACTCTAGCTAAGTGGGATCAGTTGCAGTATCAATGCCTGGAACCTTTTTCCCAATTTAAAACAGTTAGACTTGACCGAACTGTGTTACCTTGTTTCGTTTTGTCTCTGTGTGGACATCTGACTGCACCCCGTAACCTTATATCACAAAAGGCAGACTCTAAAAAACGTGACGTCTCTTAGACTAGTGTAAGAGTAGGTTCCCTTTAATAAAGGACAGTTACTCTAGCGGGAAGTCCTATGGATTGCTGCGAAAGGCAAGTAAAACAATTTGTGTGGGCAGTTGTTGTTTTACCTATATGAAGTTATAGGCCACAGTTAGTATAAGAAACAAGTTTCATTTGGGACTAAACTGACTGTCCGACTGACATATCACTTACCTACTGACGTAATATATGTTAATGCGCACATTCCGTGACCGCTTGCAATGTTTAGGTAATTTTGTGAGGGATGGGAAGAGATTTTTCGAGCACAGATTTGAAGAATGACATTATATGATAAAGAGGTTATCACGCTTATGTGTTTGGGGACGGTAAATAACCTGTATTAGGAATAAACACTATATATTTAGCTCGCCAAGGTTCGCTAAAAATAATTCTATTCCTAATACAGGAGATTTACTATCCCCAAACACTTTCGCGTGATAACCTCTAAAACTGTACCTTATTAACTCTGTCACGCATGTTGACCGCGCATCCACACAAAACTCATCTTAATTCAGTTGATATGGTGTAGATAACGTCCATATTTCATTCGCCTACACTATATAAACTGAATTAGTAATTAATTCACGTTCTGCACTGACTTTGCACGTTAGTCTGCGGGAACGCTAACATGCTAACCCATGAAATTTGGAGTTTGCATGTGCATTCTATACAAACTAGGTATATACGTGTACATTTTGATGAAAACAGACAACTTGCTAATTGATGGTGCAATTTACTTACACTGTATTATGAAAAAAACGTGTCAAGTATGTAATGGCACCTGAAATCCATATTTGTGTTGTCTTGACTTATCACTGCGGTTTTAACTTCAACAATTGTTAGGAAAATGAATGTACAATTTTGTTTGTGCTTCTTACATGTCATTGGTATTGAATCGTCTTATTCTTTCAGTTTGAAGTAGCTGAAAGGAACCAACAATGGCAGATGAAGCAATGGCCTTATGTGACGACTACGCTAAAGATTTTGACCCAGATTACTACATACAAATATTCGAAGACCCAGAGCCGAGCCCTATCCTTGCGAACCTAATGTCATTCATATTGACCAATTATCACAAAGCGTTTAACTCAGGTAAAATTGCTTGTTTGTGTTGATGTACTCATTTTGTGCTTGTCGGATTGCTTACAATAAAGCAGTCACTGTGTTCTTTTGTACTTGTAAAGAAATGAGTCTTGCACAAGGGCGATCTTTCCTTTGAGTCGAGAAGCCAACGATTGTGCCTTCGAATCTGGGTTGCCCTGATCAATTAAATGCTTGGAAACGGGCAGGGATCAGAAGTAGCGTAAATCCCCACGTTCCCTTGTATGGTTGCCTACCTTGGTGCTGTCGATCAATAGCCCGTGTTGTTGAAAGGTCGTTCATTCTTTTACTTGCTCTAAAACAAGTTTTATCTAAATATGTGATGGTCTAGTTATTGTACTGTCCATCGGCGACAGATGCTTATACAGTACACTTAATGATTTTGTTAAAGTTAAACTTTCTCTAGTCACAATATGGCTGAAATATTGCTATGGTGACGTTAAATATTAGCTCACTCACTTAATCGATCTGATTAGGTTTATGGGCTTGCTAACGCCATACCTGTACATCCTAGTAATCCGTGAATAACAACATAGTGTAGTTCAATGTGCGTTCAAAATAGCTGATGGTTGTGGTAGTAAAGTGGAGGGGAGAACTACCTATTCTTATGCTTTGTTCCAGGTACTGTCAAAGGGAAGACGCTCTTGGATATTGGGACAGGTCCAACAATATACAGTGTCATTAGCGCAGCACAACATTGTGACAACATCTTCTTGTCAGACTTCTGCCAGAGTAACAATGACATCTTAAAGCAATGGCGCGATGGATCTTTGGAATTCAGTTTTGATAAAATATTTGAAATGGTACTCAAAATAGAAGGGAAAAGGCAAGTTAGGATTTCTTAATATAGACTCTTCTTTCGGATTCATTGCTGTTACATGATTCACTCAGTTTCAAAATCATTTATTACATCAAATGTATATGTATTAAATAGGCAATATTTTGACAACTAAAGTCAGTTAATCCGTAGATTTAATAGGTATGCAAAAAATATGCAAATCAGAAGATTAAACGTAAATAGTCATTATCAGTAACTGAAAATATTATCACAGGGTAATGCAAGTTCAGTGGTTCTCAAGGTACATGGGCCTATATCGTAGTGATTGTAGATTGATTTAGAATTAGGCACCTACGTTTTTAATTTCGTTTACCGAATCATTGGTACGGAAGGTTCCTCTGTATACATGCAACAGTAATCGTTAGGTAAGCGAGGTCTGCAGACTTCTTGGGTTCAGCCTAGCGGGGAGGCACTGTGATTTATAATCGAATTTCTAGGATGTTTGTTGTTTGATCAGGGTTACAGCATCCAATGACTTAGCAATGCTTTCAAAATGTTTATTGGAAAAAAATTCCAAACTTGAAGCATCAATCATTATGTCATTGCAATTCCCTGTTTTAACTTGTGCCAATTTTTCCCGTGTTTGTTCTGTTTAGCACTTGACTTGCCTTTCCATGTATTTGTGACATATGCCAATGGAAGAACATAAGACGCACACCTTTTTGCGAAATCATAAGTGACAATTTCTTTGTTTACAGCAAAACTGATATCCCCGAGAGAGCGGCAAGTATTAGAGACAAGATTTGTGGGATTCTACACTGCGACATCAGGGACGATAACCCTTTCTCGCCAAACTTCCTTCCGCAGGTCGACATCGTCACGTCATCCTTCTGTCTGGAAGCAGTTGCCACAGACTTGGCCTCCTATGAGCGGTACGCCAGGAATATGGTCGGAATGTTAAAACCCGGTGGCCACGTGGTCATCTGTGGATGTTTGGGAGGAACTTTCTACACAGTGGGAGAAAAGAAGTTCGGCACTTTGGGGATGTCGAGAGATGAATTGAAGTCTACATGGAAGAAGGTTGGAATTCAGATCATTTCCTGGGACGAGGGTGTACGAGCCAAGGAAGACTATTCAGATGTGGAGGGCAGCTATAGCATGGTTGGAAAAAAGGTCCCTGTTGCTTTGTGAAAACTTTTGAATGTAAAATAGTATCAGGGTACGATGTAGATTATTGACTGTTTTGCGAACATTTCTTTTCGATATTGAATCAAGGCTGAAATGTGTTAATCAGTATACAGACACATAAAAATCGTTTACCTAAGGACGTTGTATGACAGGGTTTCTTTTTAGCCAAATGCAAACTTAATTTGTAAGCATTGTTTTAAAAATAATCGGATATATCGGAACAGATTTGAAGACTTTTGGAGAAAATCCAACGATAAGCATCCAACTATTTTGATTTATAACATCAAGGAAATCAACTCGAACCAAGGAGTTCATCACAGCCCAATATTCAAATTCAGCCCTTTTGACAGATCATTCAATGTTGTTATCCATACATTGGAAAAACTACAAAAATTCACATTAATGTCAACAAATCAAAACTTTCCATCTTCAAAACTTTTTCTAAAGGTTTACCTTAATTGTTTCTTTGCTGAAATGCAAAAAGTAAGCCTGGTCATACCTCGTCCATACTTAACCTTATTCCGGCCAGGGTACTCTGTCATATGACGCTTTGCAAGTTTGTTCATTGAATTACGTTTCCTGTTACAAAGCTGTCAACAAGAACTAAGATCTGGTTTCTACTCCCCTGTCTTGCCCTGTCCGCTAGGGCTCATCAACTGCCGTGTGTCGATTATCCGGCCAACGCAACTGAGCGTGACAAGCGACTGTACGGGCAGTGAAAATAATCATTGATGCAATATCTCTACGTATTTCTGAACACTGATTGGTTACCTCTGTGACTGCATATTAGAAACTGGTAATTCAACCTATTTCATGGGATCCATCTGGGTACTTCCGATACGAATCAAAGTCCAATTCCATTTTTTCAGCAACCCCCGCTCTCCTAAGAATGTTTCATAGATATTAACCCTTCCCACAGTTCTAAAGTCAACCCATATATTACCCGTCATATCGAACTTGTGTCAACAACATATATCACGAACAACGTTTTAACTGCAAGCAGCAAGCTGCCATAAATCACTGGAACAAACATTTAGCAAGTCTAGGTTTCTTCAGTTAAGCCTGTCATACAGATACTGAAATAAAACCATCCAAAATACCCCATGCCATGTTTGCAAGTAATGATTGCTTAAGTTTGCTGTTCCGCTCTTGGAGCGTCAGGGTGTCACCGATGGCGCTATGAACATCGGAATACCCGGTGTACCTACAAATAATAGTGTTTTATTTTACTTCGTGTACATTGGATGCCTTAATTGGAGAGTTTGATTAAGTGCTGTTTGTCTCAGTGTCAACAATATTCAAACTAAGTCATGGTGGCATGTAAGTACCCAAGCAATGTCCAAGAGAAGTAGTGGTTGATATTATACAAAACGTCCCACGACGTCTGGGTACATCCAACCCTTGGGTTCCTAGTCTAGATCTGATCCGGATTTCAAACAGGGCTGCTTGAAATAAACCCAAGCATACGTGTACGGACATCCTAAAGGCCACATGAACGCTTGATATGAATCAGTTTAATGAACGCTACACCCCATGTAAAGAAGAAGTGAAAGGACAATAATTGGAATCTCGGCATTTAAGCAGACATCAGCGTTTGTGCCACTGTTTCGACTCTTATTGAGGGTAGCACCAATATATCGACTTTGAACGTTGAACTCTTCTGGGTAATTGCACTCACCGACTACAAGACTACCCATATTGTTAATGGAACTTATGGAACTGTGTAATTTATAAGGATATACATTTTTGAAGAACGACGTAACTTCAATGGGAACTATGTGACTTAACATAATTACGCCAATCAAAATAGGAAAAAGAAGTGGGATATAGGTAGGCAGCAAGCGGTATGGCAACACACAGGGCGCAGCATACGTAAACAATTCTTACTTCTACTTTCGATTTACGGTAAACAAACGAAATGCGTAAATAATAAATATACAGTTTCGGCATTAGGATGACATTTTTTTCTGCAACAAATTTAGTTCAGCCGCTGATTTGAACAGCACATCAGGCACATTATGGCATGTCAGGCTGATGTTAGAGTAAAGCCCAGTTTACACCGATCCAAGACGTTAACACGGTTTTCACACCTACGAACACGTGTATGGTCACCATGAACAATGAACATTTAATGTGCAACGAATCCTGTCTCGTCTAAGGGGTGTAACCCGCCATCTACGACACTGGGCCAGCCGTACAGCAATCACAAAGGAATGATGCAATTGCTAAACCACATTACAGCATGCTCTGGTGACCTACCGTCTTTCTTCAGTAACAGTTTGAGTCCCTCAGCGTCGTCATGGCCGAAGTACATCCCGGGGATGATGTCCGCGTACTTCTGGACGAGGTCGAGGAATTTGGTGTTGAACTGCTCATAAAACCACTGAACCTGTTTGCAAACAATACCCGATAAACCCCAAGCTTACTCGTCCCTGCTCGTCTTTCTCCGTGAGGTAAGTTTCTGGAATGGAAGCAGTGTAAGAAAGCTAAACGGACATATGTGAAGGCTACACTTAATGAGCTAGAGAATCTGTGTTATACAGACATGGGACAATTTTGGAAGAAAATTTGTAAAGTAGGAGTTGGATGTGAACGATTGAATAACATCCCGATGGAAGTTACACTTGACGATGGCTCTAAAAGTACTGAGCCTCATATTTCGATGTCCAAATGGAGAAACAGTTACTCTGAACTTCTGAACTGTAACGTCACCAGTGACTGCCCCACCCCACAAGAACTAGAGAATGCTGAACTACCGATGTGTGAGCCTATCTCTATTGAAGAAGTAAGGTATGCTGTAATCCACGCTAAGAAATACAAGGCATGTGGTGTAGACAACGTCCCTGCGGTGGTTATATGTAATGACACGTGTATTAAATATCTTCACATACTCTTCACAGTGTGCTTTAACTCTGGGTGTATCCCTGCCAGTTGGGGTAAAGGCATCATCAACCCTATTCCGAAGGCTTCTACTGAAGACCGAAGTGACCCACTCTCATACAGAGGTCTTACGATTACGACAGCTTCTTACAAGATTTATTGCAGCATTTTAAATAAACGTCTTTCAACATACGTTGAGGATCATGGCATACTAGAAGATAACCAGAACGGTTTCAGAAAAGGACGATCAACAACGTTAACGGAGCATATCTCTACTATTACTTCTATCATAGAAACACGGAAATCGATTAAGAAGCCAACATATGCAGCCTTCATAGACTTCCGAAAGGCGTATGACTGTGTTGATAGACAGAAGATGTGGGCTAAACTGCTTGAAGTGCACATAAAAGGTAAAATGTTTAACTCTATTACATCACTGTACAAGAACGTGCAATGTTCTGTCAGACTCAACGGAAGATCAACACCATGGTTTGATGTAAAATGTGGACTAAAGCAGGGATGCATGTTATCACCGGTACTTTTCAACCTTTTCATAAATGACCTTATCGCTACCATAAACCAAACGTCCATAGGAGTTGTTATCGATGAGATGACTGTTGGTATACTTGCATACGCCGATGATATTGTCCTACTTGCGGAGTCGGAATCCGAGTTAAATCTACTATTGGATTGCTTGAGTATATGGTGTCAGACCAACTCGATGGCTGTGAAAACTGACAAGTCCAAAGTCGTACACTTCAGGAGCTCCTCAACTATGAAGACTAATTGTATTTTCAAGTGCGGGGGTCAGATCTTGGAGATCGTCGATTGCTATAACTATCTGGGCATTCTCTCGACAGAACATCTCGACTATAATCGTATGGCCAGAGCAGCAGTCAGTTCAGCGAGTAGATCCCTGGGTCTCCTCATATCTAAATATTAAGCTCTTGGAGGTATGCAGTACAAGACTTTTACTAAGTTATTTGACTCCATGGTATGGTCATTAATAGAGTACGGTGCAGCAATATGGGGGACGTACAACATGTCATGCATTGAAGCCGTTCAGAACGTAAGGAAACACACGCCCAACGCCGCTGTCGGTGGAGGTGGACATGGGGTGGACTGCCCACGTCGTGCGGCAGTGGGACTCTGTATCACGCCTTTACATGAGATTACGCACCATGGATCCTGGACGTCTAGCACATCAAGTTCTCAATTGGACCTATCGGTGGGCGGCGCGACGTAAACGGAATCAAGTTTTAGAATACATCTGAAGTTTGATGTACTTGGACTATCTCATTTTAACAACATTAATTACACGTATGACAAATGTAACGTCACAAGGACGGTTCAGGAAAAGATATTTGAACAGTTCCCAGAAAATTGGATGAAGCTGATCAATCAAAAATATAGCGTACTTGGAACAGGTGGAAATGAGCTGAGAACCTACGTCACTTTTAAAGTCGAATATAGAGTCGAATCCTATGTGTTGGGTGAGCTTCAGCGGTCATACGGAAGCGCCCTTTCAAGATTCCGGTGCGGAGTTGCGCCGCTTCACATAGAAACTGGACGTTACCCCTATTGAAGAAAGAACTTGTTATGTATGCAGAGATACAATTGAGGAAGAAAAACATGTTTTATTACACTGCCCACAGTACCAATCTTACAGATGCCACCTCCTTTCAAAGTGCAATTCAATCTGTCCTGATTTTAACGATTTTAGTGATAACCAGAAGCTAGGTTTTATACTTTCCAGCCCAGAAATGATTTTTACATCTGCCAAAACCTGCAACAGAATTTTATTAGAACGAACACGGGCTTTATACAAATGATATTTACGATGAGTGTTATTAACGTTTTTAGGATCTTTTTCATGTATTTATATGTCACACGCTTTTACACAATAATTTTAGTCTCTGATAACTCTGCTTAGAGTGGCTCGTGCTACACCTTCATATTGTCATACCTTGAAAATATTTAAGTATTTGTAGCTAACGAGGTGAGACTTTAATAAATTATCTGTCTGTCTGTCAGGAAATAGTTTTTCACGTTTATATTTTCGCAATGAAAGCCAGTTATTCTGCTCAGCGCTTGGGTGTTGGCTTCTCTGGTCGGAGTCCTATTGTTTTGGCTTCAAAATTTTAATCGTGCATGAACTAAAGGTGTGATGTCACTCTCGGAAATTATTTCATGCACTCAGAACCGTCGACGTACTGGCCCGTTAACACACAGTGTTGCCCTACGATCCACCCTGCCGTGCAGCGATCGAAAGTTGTATTTTCCTGCGTGATTAAGCCAATGGACCCAAAAGAGAGAAATATTTTCAGCCAATCAGCGTGAGCGCAACGCAACGTTTGTTGTGAACGAGCATCTCCTGTCACTTCCTGTAACATCTGGTCTGATTCAATTATTGTCACATTTAAACTCAAATGGGCTATCCGTAATAGAGAGAAACACATGATACGTATATTAACGACCCTGCAAAGACATGAGTGAGGGGACATATGCGTTTTCTAATAAAGTATGCAAATTGAATCGCACTGTGTACATCCATGAGCAGTATTTGAGGGAGTGCAGAGGACAGCTGTTATTTGGGAGAACACAAAGAACAATCCTTATTCATCAGCCAACGTAAAACACACATCTTAATTATTTGGAGGAATGCATATGATGCCTGTTATTTCAGAGCGGACAGAACACACATATTATTTTCAGGTACGCTGCAGACACCAATTATATATTTGAATGTATACATGTACGTATATGACACCTGTTAATTTCGAGAGCGTAGAGGAAGCAGGGGAATGGTGTCATTCATCTTCGGTTATACAACGTTCACAACCGTGTAGAAGATCCGGGGTAGAAAAGGTCTTCAGCAACCCATGCTTGCCGTAAAAGGCGACTATGTTTGTCGACTAACGGGAGCAAGAGGCGACTAACGGGAGCGGGTGGTCAGACTAGCTGACTTGGTTGATGCATGTCATCGTATCCCAATTGCGTAGGTCGATGCTCATGATGCCAGTCACTGGATTGTCTGGTCCAGACTTGATTATTTACAGACGCCGTCATATAGCTGGAATATTGCTGAGTGCGGCGTTAAACTACAAACAAACAAACAGATGGTTTGATCGACCTATGTATATCATCTCTATTTGAAATAGCTACAGCGCTCCAGTTTAAAGAAGAGCCTATGCTGTTTAACGCCCCAGTTATATAACGGTGATCTGTAAATAATACTCGATTATTTAGAGACCGCCGTCATATAGCTGGAACATTGCTGAGTGCGGCGTGAAACAACAAACAAACAAACACAACTGTGTAATTATGCAAGTTATACCTTCTCTCCAGCGTTCCTGGCGTCTTGTAGTACCCCGTCCAGCCAGGTGAACTGACCAGCTGGGTCAGGTAAATGACGGGTCAGTCTGTCCGCGGTATAGTAGAACACTGTGTTCAGACCTACGATCCTAAGACCGTTAACTATCTTAATTGTGTAGTACCCACCTAGAACAAAATCAGTGAGAAAGATACTTACATTTAACATGTCACATATCTTGGCCATGCACTCTGAATACGCTGAACAAGAGCTAAGTAAATACTGAATTCGGATCCGGAGCGGCTAGTTTCACCAGTTCGTTTTCCACATGTTATACATATTGCTCATTTCCACGTCTATATAATCTAGACGTTATTAATGACATTATTTGAAATAGAGGCATTCATTCTGTGACATGAGGGTGAATATAAAGTGATTATAGTAAGAACTAAAATTCAGTCACCATACAAATATATTTTAAGCTTGTTGTAACTGCCAAATGTTAAGAATTGACTATCACTTTGTGTGAGTTCATTGGAGTATGAACCTTCATAGATTGAGGGCCAAACTGTATGAACGTTGGAGCTTGCGTCCATGTCGACAGTTATCGGCTGTCGTGATCAGAGATCAGCTGGGTTTGTAGGAAAACGAGGATTTCTGTTTCAAAACCGAGGGTACATGTAAGTTCTAAATCTTACACATTGTTCTATATACAGTGCGAAGTTGCCGGATATATTCTCTTGTGGAATCCGAAGTTAAAGTCATTTTAAAATATTATAATTCGTTCTTATTAACGAAGTAGGTTGAAGGAAATAAGTTGAAGCGTACCTACAGTCTTAGGTTGTCTCCCCTGAAACTGTATCAGTTCGTTGTAAGTATATTTAATACTGATTAAAGGATCTTTACATTCTTTATATAACTATAAAAATATGTTAATTGATCTTATTAATAAATGTTGATTGATTGTTAATAATTGTTGGTCATTTATTGTTTATTCATGGAAAACTGAATGGTTATTGTGGTGTAGAAGAGAGATCCAATATACCCAATTTACACATAAACTACTGGTTGCCTCTCTGCACAATTCGATCCCCTTAAACCGTTACACGGTGTATGAGGGAACGGTTACCCCCGTAGTCCTTAACACTATGTTGAAATACAACATTGGTGAAATAGTTATGATTATATAAACCTTAACGTTAGAATGTTATGATTAGCACTCAATCAATTACATGGTAAAATGTGCTCGTGTGCTAATTCATCAGGTTATGAACTTTTAAATTTTGACAACTCCAACTCTAGTAATTCACACTCGCATATTCTAAATTTTGACTCACACCTAATATTCACTAAAGTAAATTATAAATAGTTTCAAAACCAGAACCAAAACGCCACAACATTTCAAAGATAATGACAGAAAGTAACCTTTCTTAAAATTGTCCATCTGCTGATTGTCTCCGATCCAGTCTCTCCAGAGTTCAGCTGTAGCATTATACAGGAAGGCCTGATGTGCTGGGAACAGGCTGGCCGGAAACCAGTCATGGTTGCCCATTGTCCCGTAAACTGGGACGCCTGGAAACTCTGCCTTTAAGGCAGCTGTTATATTCTCGATGATCTCAAAATTCAGGCTTTCGCTGAGGAACTGGTTTCTTATGTGCGCCACATTGTCCCTTCAGAAATAGAAATGTTTTCAACAATGGAAAATTGTTAGTGAGCCATTCCGATGGATATGAGGGGTCTGTGTGTGAGAAATGTGATTAATATTGTGAGCAATGCATAACGCCGTCGGGATATGATCGATCGAGTCACCGAGCATGACCATCCAATCTTTTCAGTAGCCTCTTACCTAAATTATTTTAAAAAGTAAGTATGCTTCACTAGACTGTTGAAAACAAAGAAATAGCCTGCCACAAAAAATACATTATTGCAAGGTGTCATTCTTTTAAAAACGAACGCCTCCGTTGTCTAGTGGTAGAGCGTCCGCCCGGAGAGTGGTCCGGGGTTTGATACCCACCGGCATCATACCAAAAGACGTTAAAAGATGCTACTTGTCTGGCGCTCTGCATTGGGGGCTAAAACAAGGACTGGTCGGCTCGGAATAAGTATACTGGGGTATTCATGTTAAACTGCGGCATGGTATCTCAGTGGGCTAGCACTATAAATCGGCATCAGTCCGGACTAGTACAAGCAGCCACACACACACACACACACACACACACACACACACACACACACACACACACACACACACACACACACACACACACACACACACACACACACACGTGCATGCACGTCGCTACATAAGTGCAATAATCTTGGACGCGACGTTAAACTCCATTTCACCTCACCTCTTAAAAATAATAGTGCATAGTTTTTAACTAGAACAATATCTGGTTTTAAAGCTGTTTGCAAAAAAAAAAACATGCATCGAGTTCAGCATCATACCCTGACCAGAGGATGAAATCGACGTCACGTTTAACGTTGGCCATGGCGGCGACGCTGTCGTTGACGAGGCGCCAAGGAGAGTCGCACCATTAGTCGCCGTAGATACCACGTACAGGAACCTTGTCATTAAGGACCGCATTTCTGACCAGTATGTTGGGTCGAAATGATGGTCTGTGATGTGCCAGAAATGTCCTCGTGAAAAGATAACGCCACATAGCACATGAGTCAATATAACATGAACTGGCTTTGTAGTAACTACAGTAAAGCTGATTCTTAAAAGAATCCTGGAATCGGAACAAGATCGTTTACTTTGTGATAAAAAATAGGATTTAAACTACCGGGCAAAAGAAACTTATCAGTTGTAAATTAAGTTTTGTCTGAATTAAAGACGGTGCGATAGCTAGGAACGTTATCAGAAAACATTCACCGAAACACACTGTGTGCACACATGAAAGTCACTTTTTACAGGATTCATTTCGTGGAGTCATGAAAAAAGGGAAAAACAGGATTTTGTGGAACTGGTAAAAATGTTCGTGCATGATTTAGGAATAAATACCGGCGTGTGGCAGAGCAAGGATACCGCATCAAAGAAAACATCAGGGAAATGCGGTGACTCACACAAGAGGAACGTGACAGAGCTCTTGGTATGGCCGATTTAGGGGCCTCTCAACAGCAGATTGCAAGAACCTTTAACTGCAGTCAAACGATCATTGAGCCGTTGAGCCGAGTCATAGATGGAGGAGGTAATGTAGTGATTGAGTCGTATTATGTTAGTGCTCATGCCATTTGTCGAAACTGAGAGCAACCATGCCCCCCCCCACCCCACCCCACCCTCCCCCCAACACACACACACACACACACGCACACACGCACACGCACACACACACGCGCGCGCGCGCACACACACACCCACACACATATTTACATACATATGCACATCCAGATGCAAAGTTCTGTCCCCTAGGTGTACCTAATATATGTACTTTCATTGAATAAAGAAGGAATATGTGAGAATATGGGATAGTGCATTTTGATGTAAGTCCTTATCACGGATCCATACATAACAGTAACCCACTAGCAACAACGGCATGGTAACATAAGAATTATTTACAGCACTGGGCGGGTCTAATTTACATCTAATAACATTTAATTTACCCAAATCTTTAAGAAGTGAGTGAGTGACTTGCAATATTCCAGCAATATCACGGCGGGGAACACCAGAAATGGGCTTCACACATTGTACCCATGTGAATCGACACCGGGTCGTCGACGCGACGAGACAACACTTCAACAACTAGGTTATCCCACCGCCTCAAATGTGTGTGGAGAATGGCCAAGTAAACCCATAATCTTGAAAAACAACACAGGCGACGATCCATTGAATCCGAGTTATATTTTATGAGTGGAGAGTAATGAAGATAATTCCCAACGTTAAACATTCCCAGGACATGCCGTCCTTTTGTAGTATGGATGGGACGAGGCTGCTTACAATTGCTAGGGGCTCTAAACGAATATTTGGTTCATCCATGCCGGTGTGAATAGGAACTAAATATTTGGAGTTCTGCACAGAGATAAATGTTTCGTCTGTTTCTTCGTTTTTCCTCAACGAAGGATTATCAAATTATATGTTTATGTACTTCAACATGAAAGCCGTAACATAAAAACAACAACACAACTCAACTTGAACCATTTCTTCAATATTAATATCCGGACTTAAGCTTACTTAATTATTCGTTATAGACATCTTGGAAATGACGGAACTTTTTCTGTTCTATCATTTCATTTAATCAGAAAATGAATTGATGAAACACTTGTGGGATTCCAATGGGATTAGAACCGCTAACGAATGCTAACGGATGTAGTCTTCTGCCATGGCGAAAAAGAATACACTGTGTGGAATGGCGCATAACTAATTAATTTCACCTAGGTGGCTAGAGCGTCTGCCCGGAGATCGGAAGGTCGGTGGTTCGATCCCCGGCCGCGTCACACGAAAAAAGGTTAAACTGTGGTATGTGTTTGTTGTTTTCCCGACTGGATCCATTAAGGATAAAACAAAGACAGGTCGGCTCGGAGGCCTTTGTATCTGAGTGGGATATTCCTCTTAAAATTGCTGCATGGTCTGAGCTGAGAATGATAACCTTTGCGCCTGTTCGAATATTGCACTCACCAAATGTGTGTTTTTCAATGTCATAGTGGTATTTAATATCAGGCTTGAATTACAGCTATGATGATTTTAAAGTAAAGATAAGAATTTATGGTTCTTTAGATATTTTATACCGATAGTTGGGTTGTGAAATTCCTTTACACTTTGTACTCCTGAGAATAGAATCCAACGCCATAACTCAAACGTACAATACATTCGTCTTCTTCAATGTGTGTTTTAGTCGATGAATGCATCGCACCATAACTAACTAATTTCACATGTTTAAACAGAGTTTTATTCCAAATAATAAACTCATCATAAACCATTTATTTGAGTAAACGCATGACATGATTTCACTCAAGATATAAAATACCTCCAACGAAAATGGATGGACAAGTTACCCTATCAATAGACCTTTCATAAGACCGTTGACACAGGAATTAAACTCCCCAAATTCATGATGAGTAAAACTACAGATATATTCGGCTCTGCATGTTGCATCGCATTCGTTGACTGTTGTGTTACCATTAGCAAGAACGGTATTGAATCGGATATATTTGTCCAGAACATATTTATCTGTGCTCATCTGCTTAACAGCCATGCTGACGGATGCAGCAGAGAGATCCTTGACCTGGTAGGCCTTGCTGGCGTCGTATGCGACCTTCCACGATGACGCGTTGGCTTCATTGCTTTCAGTCAGATCCATGTAGTACTGAATAAAGTCCAGGGCCTCACCAGTTTTCTGATCATATTTTACCAATCTGACGGCTGGGTTGTGTGGGGCATCCGACTCTGTTCCGCTCTTGTAGCGCCATGGTGTCACCGATGGCGCTATGAACATCGGAATACCCGGTGTACCTGGAAATGAATGCCCATGTAATATTTTGCATCTGAGGTTTTGTCTTCTTGTTTTGTTGACTGAAATCGTGATTCAAGTTGTGATATCCGGTTCAACCTTCTTAATCATTGTTTGCTTTTTTATTTTCAAATGTTTCAAATGTTCTTCTATATATACATGCGTTGACTGGTGATCTTTGAGCCTCCAACAGGAGGAGTTGGTCAAGTGTGAATTATCTTGTTGTGGACATTACAACACGTAATAGAGGTATTTCCACACAAAAATTAGCATATTTGTTCCCAGTTACAAGTCATTAAACTATGCAAGGTCTGTGACGGCACTTTCCCTAAGTTAATCCATGTTCCAAATGTCACAGACCAAAAGGTAATGTTGCCAAAACAATTACAAGTTGCTCTAGTGACCTACCGTCTTTCTTCAGTAACAGTTTGAGTCCATCAGCGTGGTCATGGCCGAAGTACATCCCGGGGATGATGTCCGCGTACTTCTGGACGAGGTCAAGGAATTTGGTGTTGAACTGCTCATAAAACCACTGAACCTTTCCCGGGACCTTAATACCTGGGGGCACGTGGGCGATCAATATGATCTGCAGGAAGAAAAGATAATGATACAATGACATTATAATATATAAGCTGATTGTAGCATATGTTACATTATATGTGCTTACATAATTATGTGCATCTGTTGCTCAACACAAGTTGAAACTCAAATAGTACATTACTGACATAAGCTAACAACTGCAGGCACACCCCTTGTCAATATGAGTGAGTGAGTGAGTTGGGTTTAACGCCGCTTTTAACAGTAGTCCAGTCATATCACGGCGTGTCAGCTTAATGTGGGAGGAAAGCCCGAAGTGATGCAGGTCTCAGACGTTTACCACTTCGGTGAAACCCACGAGCACGGGTATGGTGCTGACAAACCTAGAAACATAATCCGGGCGAACCGGGATTCGAACCCACAATCATAGGTTTCTGGCGTGCCTAAGGGACGCAACTCTGCACAGCGAATCGCGGCGCCTTAGACGACTGGGCCACCCGTGCCCCCTTGTCAATATGAGCAGAAAGCTTAAGTAGAACATGGATATAACGAACTACGTATACAAGGGGCCAGAGAAATCAGTTCGTTATATACTTTGTTCGTTATATACGTTTTCGCTCGGAAACATCCGCCATCTTGGAACAAAATAATTATAGGATAATATAGAAGGTATAAATCGGGGATTTTGTAACAGTGCGTTGTGTCCGTTTGTTCGCCCTGTCCGTGTTCGTTATATCCGTGTTCTACTGTATACACATTATAGATATGACAACCACTGGAGTGAGCCAGTCAGTTAAAACGATAAGTCACGTCAGCAGAATTTCTTGGTTATTATTAACCCGGACAATAAATAAGTGTGCACTCAAATCACATTGTCAGCGGCCCTGGGAGTATACAATCCAAGATGTCACCTTATAAGGAGAAAGAAAATTTATATTCCCATTACAATTTCATCCTACCAGGTATAACCATTCTCTGTTGGGTGGGCAGAGGCAGATTTCGAACATGTCACCCCACATGTGACCTGTGTTTAAGGACCGAAGTCTTAGAAACTATTATCGTCATGCTCGCCGAACATGGTCGCTGTCTAACGTTGCTTAACTTCGACTGATATCTGATATGTGCGATGCACAAAGGACCACGTGCAACTGCTTACAGGGCAAACGTGTTTACATCAGTCTGTAATCTTCTTTCCTTCAGACCACATTTATTGGTCGCATGATGAGAAAGAGGAAAAGGATTCGCCACCAGATTTATTTTTTAATTAAAACTACGAGCCAAACTATTTAAAAAACAACACATTGCAACAATGAAATTTTTGCGCCAGACTTCTTTTTTCCAAGCATAATTATCTCGCCCCTCCACACACACACACCAAGGGCAAGTATACCTTCTCCCCGACATTTGTTGCGTTCTGAAGAACTTCCTCCAACCAAGCGAACTGACCAGCAGGGTCGGTCAAGTTGGTGGTCAGTTTGTCTGCGCCATAGTAGAAGACCGTGTTCAGACCGACGATCCGAAGGCCCTTGGGTGTCCTGATTGTGTAAAAGCCGCCTAGAACAATACATATACCACTGTGAGACAATTCATGAATATACAACTACGAGGAATTCACTTACTTGTCGCAAAGGTGATTGAATATTTTCATTGTCAAAGAAATGCAATATGCATAAAATAACGTGTGTTATATGTCAATTCGACATAGTGTTAGATAAGACGTATCTGTACTCATTGCTGTCATTTTGAATTCAAAATGATATTATAATACCTTTCTTAAAGTTCTCAATCTGTTGGTTGTCCCCGATCCAGTCTCTCCAGAGTTCAGCGGTAGCGTTATATAGAAACGCTTGTTGCACCGGGAACTGGTCAGCTGGAAACCAGTCATGGTTTCCCATTATGCCATAAACTGGGACGCCTGGAAACTCCGCCTTTAAGGCGTCTGTTATCTTCTCAGTGATCTCCAAGTTTAGACTTTGGTTGAGGAACTGATTTTTAATGTGAGCCACGTTATCTCTGGTGTAGCGAAGAAGAACATAAAAAGTACATTCATAATTGTGTGGAAGTAGATATGGAAAGTGGCTGAAAAATTCTAAGCGTAACTAGGAAGGATGTGTAGTAAGCCCTGAACAGTTTGAATTTATTATGTACAATACTTTAATGCTTATCAGGTAGCATATGTCTAGGTATTCATTCTCTGTTGATGAAAATAAGACACAATTGGCTACCACGTTGTTACACGTATCTCCAACTGAAAGCGACCCAACGATCAGCTGCAATCAGTGTGTTCAGTAAGGCGAAGGCAGGTCGATTGCCACACTGGGAGGTTACCGCTCCAACAGCCATCTATGCCTGGCCCACTCCGCACAGTGTTTACACGTCCGTGTGTGGGAGCTTGGAAGGGCGACTGTGGCTCCCAAGAAAGCGGAGGACGTTGCAATCCGACCCGCGGAGAACCGTCAGGCTGTCGATGTAAATAATATTGTCATGTTGTAAAAAGCTCCCGCCTTTAATCACAAACGACAAAGGGACAAAGGATAACAACGAATATTGCATTTGGTAAATAAAAACACATGATTGCTAGAGTTTCATTTGTCACTCATTAAATAAAATTGATGTTACTGGATATCGTAGACTTGCTATATGATACTTATGGGTTTGGTTACTTTGTGATGTACATGTATATATATTGCGGCATATCGTGTAGTTGCCATTTACTCCAGAGTCCCAAGAGGTAAGGCATTTTGAATAATGTAGACTCTATAACCATGTCTTCTGTTTGTATTTCTTTGCATATAAAGCTAGTGTTGGTTTCTAAATTACTTTTTATTGATATCAACAATTCGATTATAGTTTATCTTAACATAGAATTCCTGATATTAACAAAAAAGCAAGTAGTTTTTCAAATCACTAACTCGATGTGTACAAATCAAAATAATTTATTGATGTCATTAACGCGATATTTAGAATGAGAAATTTGTATGTTGACATACAAGATATCAATGTTTTGACCGGATAGATAGATATTCTTTATTTCCTCCAGATATTGAAGATACATATCATATATGATATTATGTATCATTACAGAGCTGTACAGTAGTACAATTGAACAATATTATTAGAAATGATAACTACAAAATGCATGACAATCAAGCATTCTTATAACTGTTTTGTAACAGATACAGCCATTTCCTACAATGTCTTGACACAATAACCATAAGGTCACCCCATAGACTTTGAGATAAAGAGCTAACACACTCAGGCAAACCGCCTAGTAGTACAGACAGGATTATATCATCGTCCTCACTACATAGTCTTGCAAATGTAGAGACATCTATCACATCACAAATGATTTCAAATAGTTCATTTCTGTCATTCATATTCAATGTACAATACAAAAAGACATGCTTAATAATATCATGAGCTACAATTCCACATCGACATTCCCTGGATTCTATATTTATGCATCCCAGCCGTACAAGATGAGACAGATTTGGGAACTGTTCAGGACGTTCAAGTGCAAGTAGCCAGAGTCTGTGTTCCTTATCATTACGTAGCGAAACATATCTATTTAAGTTAAGTCTAGATAGCAGCTTAGAGCATACAGCTTCCTGGTCTGCAGAAATAATCCTTTCCAACAATATCAGACCATGCCTTTTTACTTGCGAAGCTACATTTAATTAGATAATCTTCTATTTCTGCATTAAGATTGTATTTTTTGACAAGTCTGAGCATGTTATATACAGGTGACAAAGCACATCGTTTTTTGAGGTTATCCAACGCTATTTCGTATCTAAACTGGCCAAGGCGAGTAATGAATACCTTTTTAAAGACATAGCTGTAACTGGATCGGCATAGTTTTCCAAGTAGTAACAGTGACTGTTTGTCAATAAAGGATTGGAGAGATATCAAACCCATGTTGTCCACAGCAACAGTATCTGATGTACATTTTGGAAGGCCCTGTATTTTTCTACTGAAATAACGTTGAATAACTTCCAGCATATCGTATTCTTTGAGGGTTAATAGCCCCAGACATTACATCCATAGAGTCCGCATGGGAGTATCACTCGTTCCCAGATCCTTTTTGCTGGGATTGGATTCATGCCTCCAAACTTTAGTCCAGTATCATTATTACTATTTATTAACATTTTTAACTTTTCACAAGCTAATTGTGTTCGTTCTAAGGAAGACTAATCAGAGCTTATCCTGACACCTGCATATATTATAGATTGCTGAAGTGGAACACACATACTGCCCAAGTACAGTGATTGAGAGCAGATAAATTTACGCTGCACATCAAATATTAGAACAGGGCTTTTCGTGACATTGTACTTAAGCTGCCATTTATATGCATACTGATTTACAACATTGAGAAGATCTTGAAGGCCTGTTGGTGAGCTACTAAATAGTGTTGTATCATCTGCCAAGAGCTGGCCTGGAGTATGTGCCCACGGCAGATTAGTCCTTGCTTAGAGCGTTCCAGCTCGCATAACAGATCATTTATATATAATGTAAAGAGCCAAGCAGATATAACTCTGCCTTGACCAACTCCTTGGCGTACATGAAACAAGTCTGATCTATAGCCTGCAAAGCTGACATAGGAGTACATAGACATATAAGAGCTACGTAGTATTCGCCATGTTTTACCCGTGATACCAAGGTCATTAAGTTTTAGAAAAAGGCCATCTAGCCATACCCTGTCGAAGGCTTTTTCATTATCTAGAAATGCACAGTAGACTGGAGAACTTCTTTCATTGTAATATGCTATTGCTTCTAATAGTGTGAGGGCCGCAGTGTCTGCACCTGCATTTTTGCGAAAGCCAAATTGGAGAAGATGTGGGAAATTACAGTTTTTAGTTACCTAGGATTCGATTCTGTTGAGTATGAGCCTTTCCAAAAGTTTACCAAAAGCATATGTCATAGTTATTCCCCTGTAATTAGCAGGATCCGACTTGCTTTTACCATGACCTTTATGGATTGGGAGAATTTTACCTATGTTGTACTCATATGGTATATATTCATAGTGCACAATTGCATTGAATAAAACCATGAGATGGTGATGAATAGATCTACCTGCTTTTTTAATATGCTCGTTTGAGATTCCGTCATGCCCTGGTGATTTACCTGTTTTCAGAGATTTGGCAGTATCCATCAATTCTTCAGCAGTGAAGGGTTTTGAAAGGGGAGATGCTATAGCTACACCATTATTGTCATAAGAATCAGTGCTATCTAATACCTCATTTTCAAGGTCATTAACACGTTGTTTGACGTAAGAGGAAAATAGAACATCATGTTTCAGATCAATATCCGGGGCAGCTAGATTTCTGTAATATTCACCAAACATATCACATATATCCTTCGGGTCATTAGATGATTTATCTGAATAGACAAGTTTTTGAGTATGACCTTTGTTTTTACGATAACGTTTAGCTACCCTGAAGTATTCATGAACATCAACCTCAGCAGCTTCATAAACTTCTTTGTATCTATCATCTATCAGCTTTTGTTTTGAGATTCGATGCTGTTTTCTAAATAACCGTTTGGCTTCTTTGTATCTAGCAAAAAAAATGTTGCTTTTATCGCGAGTTTTACCATTTTCCTTCCATTCTTTACGGCACTTGCGCATACTATTGTGTAATGATTTAAGATTATCCTTTTTCCAGTACGGTTTCAGCCTAGGTTGGAATTTTGATGAAGGAATGTACATTATTGCTGCATTTTGAAGGGCTGAGGTGATGTATTCATTGTAATATTGAATAAAGTCTACTGGCGTCTGGTAGTCTGAAATTGCAAAAACAGTATCACGAAGCCAGTTTTCAGTTTCAAAACGATAAAGCATTAGGTCCGTCTCAGTTGCTTTGCACCAGTTAAGTTTATCCCCTCCATATTGACTAATAGGTGTTGTTACAGTTAGACAGGCAAGAATAGGCAAATGATCTGATACAGAGTAAGATACATTTGTATCAATGACAAATCCGACAACATTAGGTGTAAAATCAACATTTACAAAAATGTAATCTAGCATAGTCTTAATATTTCCACTTTTGGTGAAATATGTATATCTAGTGACGTCATCGATGGGGATCACAGAGTACAGAGATCTCTCATTCAATACTCTGCTTAAGTACTTGGAACGCAGTTTATCAGGAGTGCGTAAGTCTGTGTTAAAGTCACCAAGTATGATAGTCTGTCCATGTTGTGAATACACATCATATAATTGTATGACATAGTCAAGCGCTTCACAATAAACACTGTCCAACACATTACTAGATGGAAGATATGTTCCTATAATAAAAACAGGAACATTGTTCATAGTCAATTTGATACTGATCGTTCGATCATTATCTGGAGTGTTTGTCACAGACGAGACACAACAGTCCCATTTACGAACAAATATTGCTACGCCTCCTGAGCCTCTAGGTCTTGGTAGTTCTGATTTGTCACATTTGGAATACACATCAAATTCATCATGGATCCCATTTAAGTAGGATTCGTTTTGTCTGTTTAGCCAGTGTTCAGAAATGAACATTATATCACAACTTTCAAGTTTATCAGCAAGTTCAGTAGCAGCATGCATAACGCCACGCACATTCCATGTAGCAAGTCTGATCATAAGAAACAAGAGATAGGTTGCAAATAGTCGGGATCTTGATTTACTTGTCATGTTTAAGATCTTGACTGTTCATCATCATTGTGTACATACCATCTTTTGCTGGGAACCCACTCTCTACAGTTGACATTCTCTGGCCAGAATGTATCGTCTTCAAGCATGACCTTGGCACCCTGGTTAGGAACATGGATTCGTATGGTGTACGTTGGGTTATATGACTGTCTTCCAGTGCTTCAGAAGTGACAGTTTACTAATTGTCACTCCTCGGTCTTTAGCATAGTCGATGATGGCGTCCCTGGCGATTTCAAATGGTTGATCAGCTTTTATGTAGGACAACACTAGTCTCTTTGAGTTGAAACGTGAGGCCCCAGAAAATACACGTTTCCACTGTTGGTTAAAGTTAACCTTTCGTGAGTGAATAGTTTCTTGTTTTCCAAGGTCACTGTCATGACCCCAGGAGCTATTGTTCTGCTCGTCTAGGGGTTCAATAGTGATAGACAGGCTTACATCTTCTCTGTTGGACAGTGGTGGAAAAGCTTGGGTATTGGGCTCTGGGCTTGCATCATCTCGAGCTAGTTGGCTTGGTATCTTAACTGCCTCAGAATACATGAGTTTGTTTCGTGTATTCATCAAGTCAATTTTGCCGTCTATTTTGCAAGCTCGTTTGTCAATAGTCGAAATCGTTGTACAAATCTGGTCTTTAAGATGCACAATTTCTTTACTCTTGTTATTCAAGTCACTTTTCAAGGAACAAATATCTCTCTTCAATCGTTCTTCAGTCAGTTGCAAACACTTAGTCTCGGTGACATAATGCTGAAGTTGATTGTTCTTGTCTTCATATGTATCAATCATTTTTCTCATATCCAATTCATATTTGTCCTGGAAATCACAAAGTTTATTGCAAACAAAATCCAGTTTTTCCATCATTTCTTCATGAATGGCTATTAGTTTGTTAAACACTTCAGGCACAAAATCATTTATTTTGGATTTGCTTGTCATATTTTCAGGGTCAAGCTCCTGACTCACATCATACACATTGTCACATCCGCCAATATCTGTGTAGCGTGCTCTTTGACGGCTTAATACATCAGTTTGAATAACATGGGGTGGCACTGCTCCTTTAATGTACTTAAAAAGGAGATATATGTCTGCAGCATATTTGTCTGAGATACTTTTAGATCTTCCTCCACGATTCACTCTCTTTATCAGTACCCCGTCTGGGAAATCACTGCATTCTGCCTTAGCTATATCATACAGTGAGTGTCGCACATCATTCAACAGTTTTTCATCATTCTTGTATATGCTTTTGAGAGAAGTCTCACATGATTGCCTGTCACTTTCTCCTAAAATGTCCCCAAGGTCTCTGAGGATATCAAAGTCAATAGATTCAGGGGTTTGTGTGGGGTATGTTGGAGAGGAGTTCATAGCTGTACCCTAGAAAATTAGTAGAGTAGTTGGGCTTTACCATCTGCTTGAGATCATGGAAGTCAGTTGTCTTTTTCACCGCCGGTGAAGCAAAATATATCCATAAGGACTGCACAATATGCAGAGCTCCGTCAAAACACGTCCGGTCGTCTCGAGACCCAAGCCCACGATATCGTGTAGTTGCCATTTACTCCAGAGTCCCAAGAGGTAAGGCATTTTGAATTATGTAGACGTCTATAACCATGTCTTCTGTTTGAACGTCTTTGCATATACAGCTAGTGTTAGTTTCTAAATACTTTTTATTGATATCAACAATTCGAGTATAATTTATCTTAACATAAAATTCCTGATGTTAACAAAAAAGCAAGTAGTTTTTCAAATCACTAACTCGATGTGTACAAATCAAAATAATTTATTGATGTCATTAACGCGATATTTAGAATGAGAAATTTGTATGTTGACATACAAGATATCAATGTTTTGACCGGATAAATGGTTTTATCATATAATGGGTAGGTTTCTCGGAAGGAGAAGGCCAACGGATAAAAACGATATCCGTTGGGGTCGTATGCGGAGAGAAATGCAAATATCAATGTTCAAGTAGGGACTACTTTCTGACTTACAAACAAATATGGCGTCGCCATTATCATTCGGCGATCCAGTCAGAATTAACCATCGGGAATCTGGAGAAACTACTGGCATAATTGCTGTCATTATCAAAAGAATAGTCTAATATACTGAAAATCAGTGTTTAACTGTGACGTAGCTTAGGCATTTTACAAGTTTTGGTAACGTTGGAGATGTAAATTGCGAAACAATTTCGCGACGACTTTAGGCAAGCGGGATCAGTTGCAGTATCTATGCCTGGAACCTTTTCCAAATTTACAACAGTTAGATTTGGCCGAACTGTGTCCGAATTGTTACCTTGTTTCGTTTTGTCTCTGTGTGGACATCTTACTGCACCTCGTAACCTTATATCACAAAAGGCAGACTCTAAAAAACGTGACTTCTCATAGACTAGGGTAAGAGTAGTTTCCCTTTCATAAAGGGCAGTTACTCTAGCGGGGAGACCTATGGATTGCTGCGAAAGGCAAGTAAAACAGTTTGTGTGGGCAGTTGTTGTTTTTGTCTATATGTAGTTATAGGTCACAGTTAGTATAAGAAACAGGTTTCAGTTGTAACTATACTGACTGTCCGACTGACATATCACTTACCTTCTGATGTAATATATTTTTATGCGCATGTTCAGTGACTGCTTGCAATATTTAGGGAATTTTATGAGAGATGGGAAGAGATTCTTCGAGCACAGAATTGAAGAATGACATTATATGATAAAGAGGTTATCACGCTTATGTGTTTGGGGACGGTAAATAACCTGTATTAGGAATAAACACTATATATTTAGCTCGCCAAGGTTCGCTAAAAAAATTCTATTCCTAATACAGGATATTTACTATCCCCAAACACTCTCGCGTGATGATAACTTCTAAAACTGTACCTCATTAACTTTGTCACAAATGTTGACCATGCATCCACACAAAACTCTTAATTCAGGTTATATGGTGTAGATAACGACCATATTTCATTCGCCTACAACATACAAACTGAATTAGTAATTAATTCACGTTTTGCACTGAATTTGCACGTTAGTCTGAATTTGCACGTTAGTCTGCGGGAACGCTAACATGCGTGGAAGAATATGCACGAGTGTGTTCTTATGGTTATTCAACCGAATATATCACAAACATAAAGGAACCTCAGACTGTTCTTGATATTTGTGTCTCGTTATTGCATTTACATCATCACACCGATTGTTACTCAAACAATAACGTCAAGTGAAGCAGTTGGATAAAATTCTGTGCATCTTAATTGTTAACTTGTTGCACTGACTTGACTTAATCTTTCAGTTAAACGAACCAACAACGATGACAAAACTGTTGTACAGTGTGGTTTACGCTACAGATTACGTTACCTTGAAATTGTGCATAATGATACAAAACCCATGTCGGTTCTTGAAAAGACCTATAAACTTTATTCAATTTGAAGTTTGCGTGTGTATTGTATACAAACTAGGTATATACGTGTACATTTTGATGAAAACAGACAATTTGCTAATTGTTAGGTGCATTTACTTACACTGTATTATTAAAAAAACATGTCAAGTATGTAATGGCACCTGCAATCCATATTTGTGTTGTCTTGACTTATCACTACGGTTTTAACTTCAACAATTGTTAGGAAAATGAATGTATAACTTTGTTGTGCTTCTTACAGTCAGTGGTATTGAATTGTCTTAATCTTTCAGTTTGAAGTAGCTTAAAGGAACCAACAATGGCAGATAAAGAAATGGCCTTCTGTGACGACTACGCTAAAGATTTTGATCCAGAATATTACATGCAAGTATTCGAAGACCCAGAGCCCAGCCCTATCCTTGCGAACCTAATGTCATTCATATTGACCAATTATCACAAAGCGTTTAACTCAGGTAAAATAGCTTGTTTGTGTTGATGTACTCATTTTGTGCTTGTGAGATTGCTTACAATAAAGCAGTCACTGTGTTCTTTTGTACTTGTAAAGAAATGTGTCTTGCACAAGGGCGATCTTTCCTTTGTGATATAGTTGTGTTTCCGTAACAAAATAAAAGCAGCAAAATCCTTTCCATTGCGGCAAGAAATTGCCGACTGTACTATCCCAACTGTATCATGAGCATGTGTTTATGAAACACTATCAAGTGGTGACCGGGTGTTTGCGAAAGGGTGAGAAGAAACCTTTCGACGACGGCTTCGAATCCCGGTTCGCTTTGATTATGTTCATAGGTTTGCTAGCACCATACCCGTGCTCATGGGTTTCATCAAAGTGGAAAATAAATGAGACCTGCGTTTCGTATTGCTTTCCTCCCCTATTAAGTTGACATGCGGTGATAGAACTGAAATACTGAAACTCACGACCTTCATTTACAAAGTCAGTTATGACACTATCGATGTCCATCAATTACAATATTTGCAAGACAATGAAAACAAAAACACTTTGAGTCGAGAAGCCAACGATTGTGGCTTCGAATCTGGGTTCGCCCTGATAAATTAAATGCTTGGAAACGGGCAGGGAACAAAAGTAGCGTAAATCCCCACGTTCCCTTGTATGGTTGCCTACCTTGTTGCTGGCGATCAATAGCCCGTGTTGTTGGAAGGTCGTTCATTCTTTTACTTTCTCTCAAACAAGTTTTATCTAAATATGTGATTGTCTAGTTATCTAGTGTGTTCTGTCCATCGGCGACAGATGTTTATACAGTACAATTTTGTTAAAGTTACACTTTCTCTCGTCACAATATGGCTGAAATATTGCCATGGTGACGTTTAATTATAACTGACTCACTTACTCGATCTGATTAGGTTTATAGGTTTTCTAACGCATAACCTGTACATCCTAGTAATCCGTGAATAACAACATAGTGTAGTTCAATATGCGTTCTAAATAGCTGATGATGGTGGTAGTAAAGTAGAGGGGAGATCGTAACGATGTCCCAGAACTACCTGTTCTCATGCTTTGTTCCAGGTGCTGTCAAAGGGAAAACGCTCTTGGATATTGGGACAGGTCCAACAATATACAGTGTCATCAGCTCAGCACAACATTGTGACAACATCTTCTTGTCAGACTTCTGCCAGAGTAACAATGACATCTTAAAGCAATGGCGCGATGGATCTTTGGAATTCAGTTTTGATAAAATATTTGAAATGGTACTCAAAATAGAAGGGAAAAGGCAAGTTAGGATTTCTTAATATAGACTCTTCTTTCGGATTCATTGCTGTTACATGATTCACTCAATTTCAAAATCATTTATTACATCAAATGTATATGTATTAAATAAGCAATATTTTGACAACTAAAGTTAGTTAATCCGTAGATTTAACAGGTATGCAAAAAATATGCAAATCAGAAGATTAAACGTAAATAGTCATAATCAGTAACTGAAAATATTATCACAGAGTAATGCAAGTTCAGTGGTTCTCAAGGTACATGGGCCTATATCGTAGTGATTGTAGATTGATTTAGAATTAGGCACCCACGTTTTTAATTTCGTTTACCGAATCATTGGTACGGAAGGTTCCTCTGTAAACATGTAACAGTAATCGTTAGGAAAGCGAGGTCTGCAGACTTCTTGGGTTCAGCCTAGCGGGGAGGCACTGCGATTTATAATCGAATTTCTAGGATGTGTGTTGTTTGATCAGGGTTACAGCATCCAATGACTTAGCAAAGCTTTCAAAATGTTTAATGGAACACATTTCCAAACCTGAAGCATCAATCATTATGCCGTTGCAATTCCCTATTTCAACTTGTGCCAATTTTCCCCCGTGTTGTTCTGGTGAACACTTGGCTTGCCTTTCCATGTATTTGTGACGGATGCCAATGGAAGAGCACAATACGCACACCTTTTCGTGAAATAATATGTGACAATTTCTTTGTTTACAGCAAAACTGATGTCCCCGAGAGAGCGGTAAGCATTAGAGACAAGATTTGTGGGATTCTACACTGTGACATCAGGGAGGAAAACCCTTTTTCGCCAAACTTCCTTCCGCAGGTCGACATCGTCACGTCATCCTTCTGTCTGGAAGCAGTTGCCACAGACGTGGCCTCCTATGAACGGTACGCCAGGAATATGGTCGGAATGTTAAAACCCGGTGGCCACTTGGTCATCTGTGGATGTTTGGGAGGAACTTTCTACATAGTGGGAGTAAAGAAGTTCAGCACTTTAGGGATGTCGAGAGATGAATTGAAGTCTACATGGAAGAAGGTTGGAATTCAGATCATTTCCTGGGACGAGGGTTTACGACTCAAGGAAGACTATTCAGACGTGGAGGGCAGCTATTGCATGGTTGGAAAAAAGGTCCCAGTTGCTTTGTGAAAACTTTTGAATGTACAATAGGATCAGGGTACGATGTAGATTATTGACTGTTTTGCGAACATTTCTTTTCGATATTGAATCAAGGCTGAAATGTGTTAATCAGTATACAGACACATAAAAATCGTTTACCTAAGGACGTTGTATGACAGGGTTTCTTTTAAGCCAAATGCAAACATAATTTGTAAGCATTGTTATAAAAATAATCGGATATATCGGAACAGATTTGAAGACTTTCGGAGAAAATCCAACGATAAGCATCCAACTATGTTGTCTTATAACATCAAGGAAATCAACTCGAACCAAGGAGTTCATCATAGTCCAATATTCAAATTCAGCCCTTTTGACACATCATTCAATGTTGTTATCCATACATTGAAAAAACTACATAAATTCACTTTAATGGCAACACATGAAAACTTTTCATCTTGGCCGGGTCATACCTCGTCCATACTTAACCTTATTCCTGCCAGGGTACTCTGTCATATGAAGCTTTGCAAGATTGTTCATTGAATTGCGTTTCCTGTCACAAAGCTGTCAACAAGTACTAAGATCTGGTTTCTACTCCCCTGTCTTGCCCTGTCCGCTAGGGCTCATCAACTGCCGTGTGTCGATTATCCGGCCAACGCAACTGAGCATGACAAGCGACTGTACGGGCAGTGAAAATAAACATTGATGCAATATCTATACGTATTTCTGAACACTGATTGGTTACCTCTGTGACTGCATATCAGAAACTGGTAATTTAACCTATTTCATGGGATTCATCTGGGTACTTCCGATACGAATCCAAATCCAATTCCATTTTTTCAGCAAGCCCCGCTCTCCTAAGAATATTTCATAGATATTAACCCTTCCCACAGTTCTAAAGTCAACCCATATATTACCCGTCATATCGAACTTGTGTCAACAACATATATCACGAACAATGTTTTAACTGCAAGCAGCAAGCTGCCATAAATCACTGGAACAAACATTTAGCAAGTCTAGGTTTCTTCAGTTAAGCCTGTCATACAGACACTGAAATAAAACCATCCAAAATATCCCATGCGATGTTTGCAAGTACAGATTTCGTAAGTTTAAAGACGAAGATAATAATCATGATCCAGACCATTTGCTATTGTATTTCATATGACAGTTTAACAAATTGTTTTTTAAATAATCAGAAAAATCTGAAATAGAGCAATGTTCTGGATTTTCTTTTTAATGGACAACTCAGCAAAAGATAATTTGTGAACCAATTTCATTTTATGAAAGTGTAACATGACTGTTTCACTGGTGTAACATAAAATGTCAATATGTAGCCAGTACCTGACTAATTGAATGGTGTCAATAAAGTGCTTATTCTTGCATTGCTGATTTGCACGTTTGAATTTCAAATTAAAAACCACATACAGGTTATATTTATTTTAAATGGCAGTGTCTTGCAACCACAGTTATGTATTTGCCACTGTGTGACTCAATGTCATTTAATAGAGTTAATTGAAGCAGTAAATAACAGGCGAACAAAATGTCCGGTGAACAGTAACAACGAAACTATTATTGTCCTCAGTTTGGAGGAATGATATTATCATAAACATTGGTCATAATCACCACATACACATGTTCCAGTAATATCGCCAAACAAACTTGTAGCCAGTTCAGTTATCAAGTATTTTCGCAATCCGTTTAAGGCGAGTAATGCACCTTATGACAGCAGCGAAAACAGTAAACATATATATGATGGACCACCGTGATAGAGGCACGATAACAAACTTCAGGCTGGTGATAATAAATGCTTACAACTTGAATGGTACACCAATAGAACTCCTCAAATCAAGCTATTTTGATTCAGAGTACGAGAACGTCCGAAATCCGTCGACAAGTTTCGCTCGTGCGGCTCGTACAAGACCGTCAGGCAATAATCGTCAAAACTCACCTGACACTGAACTTATTTTAGCCAGTATCCTTTGTCCGCTAGTCAGCTGGAGACACGACATATCGCAACGCTCCGTTTTTGACAAAAACAGAAAACAAGAGTATGTGGGCAGTGCGTCTATTCAATTCTTGCTCACAAAAACATGATCTTTTGTCTTTGGCCAAAACTGAACCCGACCTAAATCGATCTCTAATGACTTCTCTTCCCGAGGTTAGACGCAGAATGGGACAATATACAGCGGTAACTCTCTGTATGAGATTCTCAAATCTCTGCAGTACCATATCCAAAGAAATGGTACTTCATTAAACATCTTTCCTGAGACTTGCTAAGAAGGCCTGAGAAACACATTGTGTGCCTCATTTTACTGACCCTGTGGATATTGTTAGTGACGAATAAGCCCCCAGTACCAGCTGCTTGTCGTAAGAGCCGGCTGAAATCATAACGAAGCAGTATGACTCAGTGTCATGACTGACTGCATGCCAGCTATCTTGATATAGTGGATGGATGCTCATACACATGATATTTACATATCGCCGTTATGTCGATGTTGCATTCACCTGTTTTAGTCAGCGCTTGCGACAGGAATGTCACACGTCCTAGTTCGGGGTCTATAAATTAACGGTCTCTATACATGCTATCAGTGCCATGTGTCCGTATTGTAAAGGATGTAGATATTGATATTTTTTATTATTATTGATTTCCAAAAATGGCACGGCTATGTATAAACATTTTTTTAATATTATTTCTTATGGTAATTGATGTGTTTTAATTGCAAGAGATGTCATATATACCAAACAATGGAAAGAAGAACTATATTGCCCGATATTGGTTTACAAACACGTCGATATGCATTTGTGCCAAGGTAACAGTCAGTGGAATAAATAAAAAACAGTAAGCGTTTCTATTCACTTAGACTTACGTATAGTCTCCGAAAGTCTTTACATGAACCTTAAGTCTCTAACTTTCAAAGTCACAATGGGATGAGAATATGGATCTCGAGCTAGGAAGGGATTGTGAATAGAATGGGGGCGAATGTTTCCCTAAATATACACACTGGAATCTTAAATTGAGACTTCACAGGGAATAGTCTCCCATAGAGACCCTGACACAAAAAAGAACTGAAAACTCCCCAGCAAGACTACATGTACATACTTTCTATTATGTATTAAAAGACAATTTAACAAACATATTCACAATCACCTTTTCTTACTATTGAGCTAATACTTATGACTATGACTTCAGGTGAAATATCATTCTGCCAAATGTCATCAAATCTTTCTGTATTCATTATTCCAACGTTAGCCCGGGTTTGAATTCACCATTCTGATTCTTGATTTCGTGTAATGACGCCTAGTCCTGCCTCGAACAACCTAAGATCCGGTTTGGAATTGGTATTCAGCAACCCATGCTTGTGGTAAGAGGCGACTAACGGGGTCGGGTAACAAGTCTCGTTGAATTGGTTGAATGCATGTGAAGAATCCCTATTGCGTGGGTCCAGACTCGATATATTACTGACCGACGTCAAAATGTTGGAATATTGTGACCTTAAACATCAAACAACAACATATGTAAGGACAAAACACATACCCTGTCCAGAGGATGAAGTCGACGTCACGTTTAACGTTGGCCATGGCGGCGACGCTGTCGTTGACGAGGCGCCAAGGAGAGTCGCACCAGTAGTCGCCGTAGATACCACGTACAGGAACCTTGTCATTACAGGACCGCATTTCTGACCAGTATGTTGGGTCGAAATGATGGTCTGTGATGTGCCAGAATTGCCCTTTTGAAATTGATGTGTCTTTATTACTTTTCGACTTATAAAAATATGTTCTCGTGATCTCCTTATTAACTCTCTTTACACTTTATAACTTGCCTCTTGTCCTCAACATATACCCGTGCTTATACCCGGGGTGTATTGTGTACAGGTTCAATACTGCACAATCCATACACACTGAGCAACACTAAAGTACGTAACTCAAGCCTAGTGTGCCTGAGTATTCCTTAATGCAACTTTAAGTCACTAAATTATAGTTAATGGTATTACTGGAAGTAATATCAACGTTAATTGGAACTCATCGCCTCGATGCACATCAACAGTTGTGTTAGTGGAGGTTGCCCCAAGCACACCGGTATTCAGTTGTTAAAAGTATCTGCTGTGACTTATAGCCTCTACCCTTCAAGCGCATTTGGAAATGTCTTGTAAGGTTTAATACTCTTTACACGTAACAATTACAAATATGATCAACCGCAGAGAGATGTTATAATGTTATTATTTTTCTGAAATCAATGCAGTCACGAAAGTCACTATATTAGATTACATTTAGGATTAAGTTATGTGACACAACAAAGGACTCGGGAATGCCAAAGGAACGCAACATTTCAAACGTATTTGTTGAGCCTGAGAGGGCTCGGCCACCTGTGCCCCTGAGTGAGTGTGGTTTAACGCCGCTTTTAACATTATTCCAGTTATATCACGGCGTGACAGCTTAATGTTGGAGGAAAGCCCCAAGTGATGCTAGTCTCAGACGTTTACCACTTCGGTGAAACCCACGAGCACGGGAATGGTGCTGACAAGCCTAGAAACATAATCGGGGCGATCCAGGATTCGAACCCACAATCATAGATTTCTGGCGTGCCAAAGGCCCGCAACTCTGCAGAGCGAATCGCGGCGCCTTAAACGACGAGCTCAAACGGCGATTCATATTTAGATCTAAAAATTCTCTTAGCTTGTGAATATCCTGGCGCTCTCTGTGTAGCAACATGCAAATATTGGAATATATATCTGATCAGATTACCTCGTTGGCTTGACTTGGCCATGAGACTCAAAGTGATAAGGTTGCCCTTAGTATTAATAGAATGGTCGGATCTAAACACTCTTACACCCTTATCAGTTATGGAATCTGTGGGCAAAATAAGGTCGTACCGTGCTGCGATAAACAAGATAAAGGCCGATGCATGGCAAGAAACTTCATTCAACATCTGGACATTTGCAATTTTAAAGCTACGGGAAATTTTCAAATATTGGTACAAAAATTATCAATTGTTCAACAGGCTGACAGCTAGCCTATTTTCTTTATCACACTTTCAAGTTTGAGATTACTGACATGATCAAATACAAAAGCATTAATGATACAAACTGAGTGAAAAAGGACGTATTTTTGTAACTTAAGGAACAGATCTAATTATCATTACAAGGAAGTCCGTCAATTACTGAAACAGGCAATACATGCTACTTCCCTATTTCAATACTTTGTGCTCTTCATACTGTGAGTAAAGCCTATATGTCAAAGCATTACAATACACGATACCCTTCTATTTAGTATATCCTCGGGTTGGAATAGGTTCCCTGTAACATTTGCTTGTCGTGCGAGACGACGTAATGGATCGGGTGGTCAAGGTCTTTGACGTTGTTGATTGCATCGTCATCGTGATTGCATCAGTCACTGGTCCAGCCATGAACGTATTAAGGAAGCAAACAGTTACAATTTATCCTTTAAAATGACAGACTGTCTACATTTACCTTGCTCCGGAGTAGCCACATCCAAGGCCAAGCAAAGAGCTACTAGTCCCAGCAAACAGTGACACGACATCGTCGTTGATGTCGCTGGTATGATGCTTGCTACTTCCAACGATGTACAGGTTGTATCAGTTGGGACCTCTGTTTGAATAACGACACCGAGAACGTGGTTGGGAGTACAGTTACGAAAGATTTGCGAGGCAATTGGTTGACCCAATAACGTGCCGCTGATACCGCTGTGTCAACAGAAACTACTGATTCGACAAGTAAGAAGGTGTTGTGAGGCCACCTGATAAGCTGGCTTTTCCGTTGTCATATCACCATTGTTTTGAACTCGAATGTGTCGAGTCCAAGGTTCCGTACTTAATTTCATTTTTAGTTTGTTTGTTTGTTTGTTTGTTGTTTAACGCCACATTCATCAATGTTCCAATTATATGACGACGGTCTGTAACTTATCGAGTCTGGACAAGACAACCCCGAGATTGACATCATGGGCATCGATCTATGCAATTGGGATACAATGACATGCATCAACCAAGTCAGCGAGCTTGATGACCCGATCCCGTTAGTTGCCTCTTTTTTTGTCCTCATTTGTACCACCGTCGGTGTTTGAAGAGTGAGTGAGTGAGTGAGTTGGGTTTAACGCCGCTATTAACAGTATTCCAGTTATATCGCAGCGTGTCAGCTTAATGTGGGAGGAAAGCTAGAAGTGTTGCAGGTCTCAGACGTTTACCACTTCGCTGAAACCCACGAGCACGGGTATGGTGCCGACAAACATGGAAACATAATCGGGGATTCGCACCCACATTCACAGGTTTCTGGCGTGCCCAAAGGACGCAACTCTATAAATCGTTTGAAGAGAAATGTCAGTAAAAAACTAGACTTGGCTTGATTAAGTACCAACGATGGGACTCACAGTAGAATCGGCGGACTTGGATTGGTAAATTTGTTTTCAAAATGTCTTGACTAAAGAGGTTTCATGTAAATTGTAAGCAATACATGCCCACGCTATCAATTCAATGTTTAACTTAATATATATGAGCATTACCATTTTGAAGTAACCATGTTATCATGCAATAACATATGGTGCATTCAGTCCTGTTCGGAGCCAATCTAGAATATTCTACATAAAAAAGTAAACTAACCGGTTGATCAATGATGTAACAGACTGTCTTTGAATCAGTTATATATCCAGGTGCGCATCAGTAGTTGGTAGCAGTACTACAGGACCGGAAGTTGTTCTGAACATGCGCGAAGAGGGCATTGTTGGTAATGCGTGCGCATCCAAGTGGCGCGTGTACATCCAAGATGGCGGCACTTCCGTTTTTCGTTTTCTTGCAACAAAATTCCCCAAATGACATCATCGGGTATTATGATGTGATTGTAAACTTTGAGATGCAAGGTCTCGTTCCATAAGGCGATCGTATTGTAGCGCAATGGCAGTCGTTCGGCTAAGTTAAAGTATATGAGTGGCGATCACCTGAACGCTACGATCATGTTGTGGAACGGACGCCTGAATTCTAAAGGTGAATCGGCATGCAGCGACATGTCATGTCTCCATGCAAAACGTGATGTCACGCGTGACTACAAACAGACGGTACTAGAAGTATAGATCGATAGACATGCGTGACGTTGTCACTCGCTCATCCATGCCGAGGTGTTGGCACACGTGTATGCCAACGTGGCGTGTGTGTTTTTTTACTCGTGTCTCCATGCAAAACGTGGTGCCACGCGTGAATACAATCAGACGTTTATAGAAGAATAGATGGATAGACATGTGTGACGTTGTCCCTCGCTCATCCACGTCGAGGACTTGGCACTCGTGTATGTCTACATGCGTGCTACCATTCGTGTCTCCATGCAAACGTGGTGTCACGCGTGTCTCCATGCAAAACGTGGTGCCACACGTGACTACAAACAGACGTTTATAGAAGTATAGATCGATAGACATGCGTGACGTTGTCCCTCGCTCATCCACGCCGAGGAGTTGGCACACGTGTATGCCTACATGTGTACTGTCACTCGGGTCTCCATGCAAACGTGATGTACTTCGTGTCTCCATGCAAACGTAGTGTCAAGCGTGTCTCCATGCAAACGTGGTGGCATGCGTGTCTTCAAACAGACGTTTATAAATATTATTATTTGTAATATTTATATTTATAAGGATAGAGAGAGAGCGATAGACCTACGTGGTGTTTAACTGGTGTCTCCATGCAAACGTGATGCCACTCGTGTACACATACGTACATACATACATACATACATACATACATACATACATACATACATACATACATACATACATACATACATACATACATACATACATACATACATACATACATAGAGGCGTGGTGTCACTCGTGTACACATACATACATACATACATACATACATACATACATACATACATACATACATACATACATACATACATACATACATACATACATACATACATACACAAATAAATACATACATACATATATTACATACATACATACATACATACATACATACATACATACATACATACATACATACATACATACAGGCGTGGTGTCACTCGTAGGCGTGTACCTTCAAGAGAACGGGGAGTGTGTGGGTTCTTTTGGATTGTTGTTTGTGTTGGCAAAGCAAAGGATCAAAGCGTTCTTTCGGGGGAGATGGGTGGCCCTCATAAGGGCCGTTGGAAACAAACTGGAAACAAGCTGGACGAGGTTTGTCTCTGTTTTACATTACTTTCCTTGATCTCGATACTAGATAAGAATACGGACCACTCCAACAGTCAGGTACGTCAATTCCGCGTTGAATAGTTCGTTGTAATGCTGCAATAGCCTCTGACGTGTTCTTAAACCAGTGCGGGCTCTGCGATAAGATCGTCTCCGATTCATCAGGTGATAAGCCAGGAATAGACTTTACTCAGTACTACGGGGTTATACACTCAGTCTTACAGGGTTGTAAGTCAGTTGTACAGGGGTGTACACTTAGTCTTCAAGGGTTGTACACTCAGTCTTACAGTGGTGTACAGTCAGTCTTACGGAGTTGTACAGTCAGTTTTACGGGGTTGTACAGCCAGTCTTGCGGGGTTGTGGTGGTGTACAATCAGTCTTAAGGACTGTACAGTCAATCTTACAGTGGCGTACACTTAGTCTTACAGGGTTGTACACTCAGTCTTCCAGGGTTGTACACTCAGTCTTACAGTGGTGTACACTTAGTCTTACAGTGGTGTACAGTCACTCTTACAGAGTTGTACAGTCAGTTTTACGGGGTTGTACAGCCAGTCTTGCGGGGTTGTGGTGGTGTACAATCAGTCTTACAGGGGTGTACAGTCAGTCTTACAGGGTTGTACACTTAGTCTTACAGTGGTGTACAGTCATTCTTACAAGGTGTGTATTGTCAGTCTTAAGGGGTGTACAGTCAGCTTTACGGGGTTGTACAGTCAGTCTTACATGGATGTACAGTCAGCCTTATATGGGTGTACAGTTAGTCTTAAGGGATGTAAAGTCAGTCTTACAGATCTGTGCAGTCAGCATTACCTGAGCGTACTGTCAGTCGCACATCAGTGATCAATCAGTTTTATAATTATAGCCGTAACTGGGATGTCCTCATAGCTTGGCCAACCAGTAGCGAATACTAAGATCTGATTGAATGAGATAGGGCACGAGATAATATAACAGTCAGGAAGTACGTAAATTATCATTTAGGAAGTATGTAATATACGTACTTCCTCACCGTTATATTATCAGTAAGGAAGTACTTATGGCAATGTCAAATGAGGGCGCCCCTCTCGATCAGTGATCAATCAGTTTTATAATTATGTTTTAGTCAATATGGACGTACAGTCAGCCTTACATGGGTGTACAGTCAGTCTTACATGTGTGTACAGTCAGTCTTACAGAGTTGTACAGACAGTCTTACATGGGTGTACAGTCAGTCTTACATAGGTGTACAGTCAGTCTCACATGGGTGTACAGTCAGTCTTTCAGGGTTGTACTGTTGTTCTTAAGGGGTGTACACTCAGTCGTACAGGGGGTGTACAGTCAGCCCTACATGGGTGTGCAGTCAGCCTTATATGGGTGTATAGTCAGTCTTACGGGGTATACAGTCAGTCTCAAGGGTTGTACAGTCAGTTGATGTAAGTTAATCCAACCGTAGTAGGTTACCGGCAGCATTACCTGAGCGTACTGTCAGTCGCACATCAGTGATCAATCAGTTTTATAATTATGTTTAAATCACTATGGATGTAGAGTCAGCCTTACAGGGATGTACAGTCAGTCTTAAAACTGAGGCAAAACCGAGGCTCAGACCAGGCGCCGGAACGGACCCATCGGCGTGCTGCGTTTTCGACCAATCAGGAAGCAGGGTTTCAGTGCCTCTCCTATAAAAATAAAAATGAGCGAAGCCACGAACACCGTCACTGTCCGAGCACTGCATGAGAGATCAACCATGTCGTCTCGATGCAGCTGTCTCAGACCAACAGTCAACAATGTCCGTGGATGAGTAAAGTGTATAACTGGACAATAGTGGCCTACTCACATGATGAATCGGAGACGATCTTATCGCAGAGCCCGCACTGGTTTAAGAACACGTCAGAGGCTATTGCAGCATTACAACGAACTATTCAACGCGGAATTGACGTACCCGACTGTTGGAGTGGTCCGTATTCTTATCTAGTATCGAGATCAAGGAAAGTAATGTAAAACAGAGACAAACCTCGTCCAGCTTGTTTCCAGTTTGTTTCCAACGGCCCTATTCAGGGCCACCCATCTCCCCCGAAAGAACGCTTTGATCCTTTGCTTTGCCAACACAAACAACAATCCAAAAGAACCCCCACACTCCCCGTTCTCTTGAAGGTACACGCCTACGAGTGACACCACGCCTCTATGTATGTATGTATGTATGTATGTATGTATGTATGTATGTATGTATGTATGTATGTATGTATGTATGTGTACACGAGTGGCATCACGTTTGCATGGAGACACGAGTAAAACACCACGTATGTCAATCGATCTCTCTCTATCGTTATAAATATAAATAATATTTTATTATAAATAATAATATTTATAAACGTCTGTTTGAAGACACACATGACACCACGTTTGCATGGAGACACGCGTGACACTACGTTTGCATGGAGACACGAAGTACATCACGTTTGCATGGAGACACGAGTGACAGAACGCATGTAGGCATACACGAGTGCCTACTCCTCGGCGTGGATGAACGTG